ACCTCCAGCTTACCGTCAATGAAATTGCGTTGCTTGTCAATGCAGACCTGTTCCCCACCTGTGCATATGCATTCCTGGGATCCTTCATGAAGTAAGTTGACAGCTGCAATGGAAAGTACAGCCTGATAGTTTAGAGGTGACCGACTGCCTTCATCAACATCAATAAATTTGAGGAATCATTGGATTCACCCCAGAAACACTCATCATTAATAATAAAAATAAAATACATTAACATCATTAAATCTGAGCAAACGTCATTTTAAAGAGTTAGACTGTTAGAAACTATAAATAAGAAAAGTTTGGAGGTGCATCATACATAAACATCGAAGTACGTACACGAGTTCCAGTCTGACACAAATGGTTCCAAAGGAGACATAATATTCCCAGCCTAAAGGGCCTCATGAAATAAATCATGAATATGTGATTAAGCTTTACAATTTCAATAGCAAAAACACAATTTTATTAGCTGGGGTATGTGCGTGGTGGTCAGGCAAGCTTTGTTCAGTTATGATAAAAGTCTGGCTCCTTGGTCATACCACTGTGGGACTTTAATTTCGTCTCTGAGCTTTTACTAGGTTCTGCCTGCTTTTTACCTTCGTTACAGGGGTGTGTCACATTGCACAGCACGTCGAAGCACTGAGATAGATATCCAGTCCTAATACAACGGCAGATTTGGGTGCATACTGCAAAGTCATCATTCGCAATCTTGTGAGAAAAAGGTATTTTTATAATCAGCTGACAATAGCCACGACATTGAAAGCATCCATAATTCGGCAGATCTTGCCTTAAAGAGTCAAAGTGTACAGGATAAAACAACTGTTTACGAGCTTTTCGGAAAACATCCATGATGTTGCTTTAGGCAGCTATTACCAGCCTGCCACCTGAATCGGGCCCTTTTTATTTCTTTACTGCAGCAATCGGTATAATTCCATTTACTAGCTTTGCTAAATTAGAATAACAGACGACCAAACTAGACGGCTGCGAAAAAGGCCCAATTATGGAAACTTTTGATAGATCAACCGAGAATTTAACGAGGCTTGCTCATTATTCTGGTATTTCATGATCACCGTTGTAGGGTTGCTGAAACGGTTGCTTTTTATGAGAACTATCGTTTGAATATTACTTACCCGAATGTTTTGACCCCTTGGGACATGCACGTCTGGGTAACCATTCCATAGTTTCACTGCACATCCTACAGAGGTCAATTAAAGAGACAAACGGGCAACTGCTTTCTAAAATTTCTAGTTAGTATGTTGAAGAGGGAACCAAACCAGTCGAAGCCTCGATCTTCCATGCCACACTTTAGATTTGCCTTGCTGGCCACTCGGAAGGGCATTTTTTTTTACGAAACCCTGTGAAGGAAATATATCACAGCTACTGCCGCGCAATGCATTGTGGGTTACTTGCTGACCTAATCAACGCATGTTCATTCAGTGAACATGTGTCACGCGCACGCGAAAGTTTTGACACCGTTTTAATCGGCCGGTTCATACTTCGCGCGAAAGCGAAAACGAACGCACATTTGTGAAGCCACATCAAATAAGTTTGCGTTAAGAATTCGTAAACGTTGAACACATTTCAACTCGAGCGAAATTTCGCTGCAAATATTTCATGATTTCAAATTGGCTTCATTTTCACCTTCGCCTGAAGTATGAACCAACCTTTATTGCTCAAATGAAATCTGTGTGATGAGTCCTATAAATTACGTCATGCATTAGCCACCCTTCATAGCGCCCTGTAAGGACAAGCAAAATTGTTACTGGAGTTTCACCTCGTTCCCGTCGTTTTTGACCATGTGCGTGACCATTAGCTGTTCGCGCACCCTTTGTATCGAATCTCTAATTTATCTATAAGAGTTGGGTGATACATATGTACCATGATGGATCAAACTGTGGACGCTTTGTTCAAATAGTGGTTCAAAAACTAATCAGTTGTTTTTCAAAGCCACCCTACTGACTCTTGCTTACACCACAATGCACTTTCAAAGCGACAGGAGTCTCTGCTCCGAGGCACTTTGTGTTCATATAGCAACACAAACGGCAATTGTACTGTAGAAAATATCTGGTTTGTTGATAACCTGTATACGGTGCCAATTGATTTTTTCTTTTGGATTTTTTTCCGACGACTTCACACACTTCCATAATCTCCGTAATTTTCAAATTGCAAATATTAAATTTACCCTAATCGCCATTACAAGCAGGTATCTTGTTCAAATTGATATCTCTCATCAAAAATTTATGTCATTAAATTTCGACATTTTTAGTACCCCCAAAAGCAATGATGGTGGAAAACAATATTAAAGAGAACAAAATAAAAGAGCCAGTGCGTTCGATGTCATAAACACTGTTGTTTTACTAACGTCACACACCGAAAGCCAAGTTAGGGTCTAAATTGAGGTCAGAGTATCGAATTCCCTACTTTTTAATATCGAGATCCGAAGCAACGAGCCAATTTACCGTAAAATGGTTCTTTTTAGGACAACGCAAAGGCAATTACAATGTACGTCGAGACGCTATTGAATGAAAGAGTTAGATTGGCATTACCGGCATTTCCTCTCCAAATTGAAGTTAACTGGGCCATATTCTCGGAATTTGTTGAGCAGCTGAGCCAGTTGGAGAAGCGGGATTGCCGTCTGACGTCAATCCAAATGACGATCTCCACTGGCTATATAGGGAACATGGGACACGATTTCTCTCTAAAACATCTCGCCTCCAAAACGCGGAAGCGTTATAGCACTTTTCGTTGTTTCAAATTTTTGGGGGTTTTTTTTGTGTGGTTTTTTTTTTTACTTTATTATGTTTCTGAAAAATAACTTGCGTGATGCCGTTGCCCTTGGAGTTTAATACAATACTGGATTTTTTTCAAATTCAAATTGGCACAATCCGTTAAGAGACAAATCATACCAACCTTCCTTTGATTTGACGCGCTTGTTGATAATGGCTAGAGATTCTGTTGTGGTTTGAGCACTATCTTGGTTCTTAACCAATGGGTAATAGTCCTGGCTCGCTCTGGCTGCAAACAAAAAAGAAATATTTACCAACAGCCTGCATATCTTGCCTTGATGTTTTCAATAAAAATTATGGACTCAACATGTATTGAGGAGTTGAATTCAACTGACCGACACCATTGTGTTTTTTTTTATTTTATTTTATTTTATAGCATGCTCAGTCGTAGCAGAGTAAAATTTTCGCTCTGGCTAGACTTTCCTTTCATTTGTTTAAATCATTAAAACTGTGCAAGCTGCTCTGAATTTGTGAAAACAGCTCCGGTTCACACAAAGCATGTCGTGGGGGTAGGGACGGTAATTCCCTCCCCTGGGGGATTTGTAAACTTCCGGACCCCCTAGTTTTCATTTTTACTAATAATGGTCGTCCACAAAAAAGAGTGTTAATTGGGCAATGAATCTTGATTGCAATGACCCTATTTGGGTCTCCCTATTTTACCCCATAATTTCTCTCAAAAATCAAACCCTACCCTCTTTCTACAAAATTAACCCTGGAAATTGACGAAATAATCTCTCTATCATCTACAGGTTAGGTGAGTCTGAAAGCTTAAATCTAATTCTTCCTTCTATATTAGAAAGGGGTACCAAAGTTTACAAACGCCCCCTCCACGTAGCCCATGATGCCTAAAGCCCCTTCCCATGCTTGCACCAGAGGGGACTGCGATCTCGGGTTATATCGGAGCTAGAAGTTTAAGATGCATTGTATATTGTATCGTTTATTTTCAGAAGGTTATGGAAATGATATTTGACAACCCAGGGAGGGTCACGTTCCCGAGCCCTCCCCCTCCCATTGTGCCACTGGACAACAGCTCGCTTTGATACGCCTAAACCTCGCATTCAAAGTTACTTCGATACCAGTTTTACTCTTTTTTGCCAATCTACACATACCTGATGGAAACTTTGACTTGTACATGATGAAGACTGCTGAGATTCTCTTTACTGTGCCTTAAGCTTGAGAACTATCGCCTCTTTTTCAAATTCCGGTAATTTTACTCACTGAAACACGAGTTATCGAGAACAATGCGTTGTTGTTCCTTGCATTCTTCTAGCGCTGTTCCCTCCACGCTTCGACATGTGCAACTCGCTGCCACGATTGTTCCCAGAATTCCCAGTCGAGCATCCCGACATGCGCTGTAGCTCTGTGCGCAGCCTGTCCCGGTTGTGTCGCTGATAGCACACTGGAATTTGTAGTTTTCAAAATTTGTGCTTTTGTAAAGAAGCCGCGAGGGTAAAGAAAAGAAAAGGCCGCATGAAATGTTTCCACCGCTGTCACTGTCTACATGTCTCGCAATGTTTCCCAAAAGCACGGAAAGAGTACCATCGTCAAATTAGCAATATTATCACATATTATGCTTAATATTTGCCATCACTTTTAAAGCATTCGTCATTGTCGTTATTGTCTCGTTAATTAATACCACTGACCGTGCGGCAAAAATTTTTAATGACAATTCTGTCATCGGTTATTTGGCTCAGGTCATCGTCACCATAGTCGTTATTGACAATTTTAAAGTACATGCCGACCCTAGATATCCCTTCAGTTCAATGGAAGATGTAACCTTTTGTAGGTTGTAAGTAAATCAAATATCTTACCGACATAGTGCAGAGCGAGCGCACTGTTCTTTAACTTCCAAGCAACTAGGGAGCGGTGTTAGTTTGTACGCGCATTCGGCGTTCAAACCTCGCCACACCATATCACACTCAGCGTCATGACGGTCGCAGTAACAGTAAAGCAAGGGGTGGGTATAACGCGGTGACACGCTATCCAGGAAGGCGCGTATGGACTGACGGCAAGCAGTTCTTCTGCACGAGTTCGTCGCTGGGTCGCCTCGACATTCAGTCAGGTAATCGTAGAGACTCTGACGGCATGTGATGTCAAAATTGCAAGTATTCAGGGCTTCTATGCAGGTGCTTTCTAAAACAAAAGAAAGAAAATACAAATTACACAATCCTACCAAATTATGCAAATTAGAAACCACTATTTAATTTCCAGTTATGGAGTAGCAGATAATATACGTGTATTCTTGAAAATTTTCATGTTTTTGCTCCGTACAGTGTACTGACGAATCAAACAACGAATTGAGCATTGCACTCTGGGAGGCACGCTTCTGATGAGAGGTTGTTCACTGCTATCTCAGTGAATCTCAGTGTATCTGCTAAAAATGTTTCTACTGTTTTGTATTCACGCTGCAAATTCAACAAGCATTTTCTACATTACGACAAAACGTGCTCTGGCCGCGCTGTACTTTTTTTTGCTTGTCTTCACCCACACAGTCACTCTACTTCTCTGCAAACACTTCTGGATACTGCGGCGAGTTCGCATACCACGTCACTGTCTCACTTCGGAATTTCTAAGCCTGTGTCCTACCTCAGACAACCTAGAGCCTTAATTACCATAAACCGTTTTCAGAATCTCCTTTTTACTCTCCACTTCCGGATGTGGCCTTCTCCTCGAGTGTCTTTTACTAAGAACTTATAACCGACATCAAAAGACAACACAGAACAAACAAAAGAAATTGTAGGACCGGACCCTGACATATAATTCGATGCAACACTTACCTCTGCTTGGTTCAGCTTGAATGTTATCGACATGGTCCAGGTACTGCCATGGAGAAACAGCTGAGGTATCTGACAGGATGGTAAAATGAAATGTTTAAGGCCATGCACTTGGGCATGAAACAGAATGACAGGTGCAACTTTACTAATTGATCAGATTGACAAAATACCCAAATCGTGGGAATGCAAAATAATCTACAACAAACGTAAAATACAGAATGGCAGATGAGCTCAAAACTTCATACAAATTCAAGCAAGAGCCTGGGCCTGTACACGTTTATAGGAATAATTACTTAGGGGGGGGGCTCAAGTTTACCTTGCATGGTTTCAGTCGGCATCTCTTGCTCGTCTGCCTGGCCGGAATCTACATCAGGAAGCAGACGAGGAAAGTGTTAGCCGTTGAGGCGCCTTTGTCCCGGACCATATAGCGGATTGCAACGTGATTTGCTTTCTTTCTACACGGTGCATTATTCAACACACGTTCACCAAACACGGCAGCTAACATCACATAATGCTCTCAGTAGAACCCTTGAGGACAACTTGGTTCATTTGTTCGTCACTCGTCCACGCTGCGAATGCGCAAAAGCGTGCCATGTTTTTTCGAGGTTAAGGAACCAGGTATCTGAAATCCCTTTGACGTCTTTATTTATCAGTCGTGCATGTAAATTCTGTCTGTAATTCTGGTACTTATCTCAGTCATGAAATTTTGCCAATTAAATAGAACAGAAAGATATAAAAATAATTACACCAGACTGCGGGGTCTAATATCACATGATCGGTTCAAAATTAGATATAATGGTTTAATACTGGAGATTCATAATAGTGCGCCTCGAAGTGTTTGCAAAAATTATGAAATCTGTCGACCCAATGCACGTTTGAAAAGGGTCCACAGATTTCGCGCGTTGCGATTGGCCAATGCGTTGCAAACCCTGACCCATATTGTTCACTGGAAGCTGGTTACAGGACCCGTGAGCCTGTAAAACATTTTGTGCATGAAATTAGTTCGGATAAAGACCAAATAAACGCAGTAACGTCGGTAGTACCTTGACGACCAGTCATATGGCGTAGGCCTACTTCATCTAAAACTGCGCAGAAGTCGCAACACAGTTTCTTATATAAGCCTTTACGGTTGGTCAGTATACCAGCGTTACAGGTTACCAGCGTTGTCTTAAGAGCTCTGGGAATGAGGGTACGAACTGATTGCAATGCTCACCTGAGCACTGTTTCTTGTAGAGCTGGGAGTAAACAGCCTCGCATTCCTGGAAACTTACGGCATCATCAGGGTCGCAACTACACCCTCTGAAGTTCTGGCTCTGTCGCAGGATCTGAAGAATTCCCTCACACTGCACTCTGTCTGGGGCGTCACATGTTGTCTCTGAAGCTATATTGGCAACAACAAATGTAAAACTACCATAGAAGTATTCATAGACCATAGAGCTACATATAACAAAAGAACGCTGAATCATATACAAAGTGATGCCTGCTGGGCGCATCCACGTTTGTGCACAAACCTATGGAAAACTCAAAATTTAATACGGTTTTTGTACGGTTTCATATCTGCGTCTGTTTTCTAAGACCATGCGTCAACAAAGCCGATACGCAAACAACCTGAATGCAAAATCAGTAAATGAGCATTTCATTTGGCTCTGTGCCAAAATGTGTGCGCGTATGCGCTGCACGTGAATTTTGCTGTGGCTTTTTGTTCAATCGGATTTTTATCACGGACTTATGGATTATATTGGTACCCGATGCGAATGACAGCCACTGCTTGAGAGCCGTTAACTCACTTGACACTGACTGAATTAAGAGAAAGACTTTTAAATTTAGCTGAACTTATTTGTTGAAAGACGGCCATCGAAAGACATGCATAGGAAATCGGACGACCTTGCTCGAATGGTAGGGAAACATTCCTTTCAAAATAATCAGCTATGGATGTAAATATACTTGTGCCATTGCTCTGTACGTGTGCGCCTTATTCAAAAGACGCTTTGCGCATGTTGCACTTGCACGTTACATTTAGAATACACTATTCGAAATTCATCTTATTTCGAATTTTCTACAAGCATGCACATGGATTCAAAATGTCTGCACCCTGGACGGCGTCAAATATTCTACACATGAAGAAAATTAAGACTGATATCCCAGGAGACGTCATTGCTTTCGTGGCACCATCCTCACGCACGCGTTTGGCAAATCACGAAACTCTATGGGTGGACACATCAGCACATAAGCCGCGCGTACAGCCCGCGCACGTGCATATCACTGTCGCAGCAGCGGCCTCGCCAAATGGATCTTTTCACGTAACTCATAAACCATTCGTTGGATCCGACAGAACTCCGTGTTTTTCCGACACTGCTCCTACATCATCACACAAAATTCATCTTTAAAAAAAAGGCCCAAACCGTTGAGTGAACTCGGCGGAAATGCAACCAGCGGGGTACAGATAACAATTAATATAATATGGATACGTGTTCCATGTGGCTCAGGTCAGTTCACAGTGTGTTGATCTCCGATATGTGTGACAAATTTGATGATTAAACTAATGCAACCAATTCTTTATGTAATTTCATAGAATTGCCCCCATAATATTTTCTCATATTCTGTCACAATAAATGAAATTCTTTCACAAAATCGTTGATATATTTATGATTTTTTGGCTTTATTTGCTACAGATCACCTTATTGACTGTCGTTTTTAGATTCTTTATAACTTATGTGTAAATTTCTCGGTTCAGTTAAATTAATTAACAAAAACGTAGTCTAACCCCTGAATAAATTGGTGAAAATAAAACAAATTTTTTCTGCATATTTTGAGACGAGTCGAAGATTCTTTGTGCCACCACTTCACTGTTTCCTCATTTATTTTTTCTCTGTGTTAACCCTAGTCAGTTACGTACACCTAACACATTTTTCTTTCCCTTCTGTAGTTGAGTTGGACCATGTGTATATTTTATGCGTGTCCTGCAGACGTGTGTAGAGAATCTACCTTTATTATCGTGGAAACTATTTCTCAATCCACGGTCCAAAAAGTTTAAAGTTGTAACTCTGGTAGATGCACTGTCCTAGGGAAAAACGTTGGAAATGCCCTCTCCAAGCCTGTGCCATGCATAACAACACTTTGTAGTTTGAGTATGAAGGCTTACGCCACAGTGAGCTATTTAAGTCCTCGATTTACAGTCCACAAAATCAACATGTACGTCGTCGGTGGAGATCTGAATGTAGGTCAACTCTGTTAAATCGGTCTCAAAGGGAAGACGTCAAGTAAGTTTGTTGAATCGTTATACTGGAGAATTTGAGGAAGTTCTCATTTTCCACGCAGTGAAAGCGCGTAGGAGTGCTATTCCATTCCGCCAGTTCTAGTACCGTGTAATCCTGAATAATTGCGTACAGTAACCGATAGTTTCCAAGATAAGCACAAATGCAAGATGATGCCCCTTCGTTCTCTGTGTTCTATGTATAGCACGCTTAGCCTGTAGACGTACGTCCCCGGAGCGCTGGATCTAATATGAATGAAATCACTAGTGTTCGGCTCTGTATATTAATGAATAACATCCAGGGTAGAGTACTCGTGCATTTATTACTTCTGGAGAAACGCAAAACCAAAGGAACTACGACAATCGGACTGCAGTATGCCAAGTGCATGGCTAAACGTAAGATCTGTCATAATTCTGTGATAACGCAAGCCATTATTTGGCTTGGGGTAGACATCGTCACCAAGGCAGCAGTGCTTAAATTATACGCCATTATTTGAAGCTTCTGAGTGCACGGACCTAAATGTGGCAGTTATCGTGTACATGTGGAGTTAAAAGCAGATTTGTTTTTTTGCTCAGAAAATGCATTTGGCCAATCAATCAGATTGTTAAACAGATTTATCACTCAGTTTTTAAGCTGTTTCACTATCCAAATTCTTGAGTACAATTTACGGGCTCCATTTTCTTATCGTTGACTAACTCTGTGAAATTCAGCCTACATGATCCATTCCCCCTAGGCACCAGCAACGTGGGCTTGGAGACAAATTGCTATGTAATGTGTGGGGGAGGCACCGTCTCCAGGCCCAAAGAAAAAACAGGTCTGAAGAACGGCTGTTAATACTGCTTGTAGGTGGCGTGAGATTTTGAGGTCACCGCTAAATCCTAAGCTGCTTTCAGAGGAGCTTTGCGGGTAGAGTTTCATCCCTGTGTCTTCTTTACTGTGGCGAGTGGGAGTTTGCGATTTAAGCAACCACTCCCGTGAAGGATTTTCTTTCGAAATGCCACAGAATAGATAAATGAGGTACGATCATAATCTCAAATTATATGGGAGCATGAAATCCGCATGAGAATTTGTAATATCATAGAGTGGTTTAAATTTTGCGACACTGATTTGGTTTCCAGTTGCTACCATGGTTACCGGGGATACAAACAGACGCATGTCTTCGTCAGAATCATCAAGCCTTGGGGAATCAAACCAAAATGCATGCATCATTTTATGCATTTTATTACATGTATCTACCTCTTCATTCATTATATTTTTATAGAAAACTTTTAATCTTTTGTAAACGCCAAAAAATTCAAGGTTCTTCTCCCTACCTGAATTTCCGCATAGGTCCGGGACCATCATCAATATGACTGCGCATGTATGGTCCTCGTTACACTGCACTTGAGCCTCTTTACAGTCCAAGGTGAGGCCTCTTGGTGTCAGGGCACACAGCACTATGTACAGACCTGAGGGAATTGAAATTCAAACAACCCTATAGAAACTATACTGTCGTACTTTTAATTGAAATTTTTCTTTGGTGTAACCGATCAGCTTTGGTTCTTGTGCCCAATTTGTAAAATTACACGTATCCTATTCAGAAGCTGATCGTCAAGACATCCTTCCATGAATAGATTCGTAAACCCCTTCAAGAAACAGCTACAAAAAGATATTAAGGATGATTTAGGTATGTCATTGTATTTATCATCTGCATTTTTTCATCGAGGGAAGGAGATATATTTCGGGGCACCTTGAATGGAATTTTCCTACGTCTGTTTGAGATAATGTATTCAGCTTCTTTAATTATGTTTCGAATGACCATGTATACACTGCACGATTCATTGACGCTTTTATGTCTGGGGGACTAAGTCAACATGATCAGTCCATCCGGATCATAATTAAGTCGTCGATTTACGCAATCCACCATAATGTTTCGCATTTTAATTAAAACGACCAGTGTACGGTGTTTGATTTAGTCTGCATGGTGCAATGTGTCAACCAAATGTTATGCATTGTGTGCTTCGTGAATACCTTTGACCCATCAGAGGTTGCATATGTGACTGTTTTGTTCACAGCGAAAATCTGCACGAGATGATCTCGCAATTTAGTGTGTCTAACATTTGCAAAAACGGTGCAACTTTAAAGATAAGACTCGTCTAAAAAATGACACCCCCCCCGTTTACGTTTTAACAATAAAAGGACATCATCAGGAGGTTCACGAAGATTTTGCGATGCTAAGCTTGGTGTACAAAACAAAACGAAAAAGATGAACTTCTTTTGCGATGCAATATTTTGATATCAGCTATTTTTCTTTCAGCACGTACATTATCCAATCAGTATTTTATGCTAAGCAAGTAATGAAATCTGTGAAAATGGGACCAGCTGTGCGTTACTCAGATTTAAAGAGCTTTTTGGTTTGTTTTTATTTGCTTAGTGTTTTTATTATGTAGGCCTATTGGCTCTATGATACTGTAACCCTGACGTCTGCTGATTGTACCTTGTGCTGACATTAGCTGGAGTGGCTGTAGAATAAACACTTACAGCGACTTGACGGACTCTTGCAATATTCAAGAAAGAAACAAATAGCATCTCCAATATACGTTCTATGGCCAATAACAATATAAATGTATATGGACTACCTCTTGAGACAGGCGTCATCTGATGAAGGTTGATGTTGGTTTACTTGAAAGATGCAACAAAAGCGTGTAATATGTTAACTTTGTTTCTATACATCCATTAATACGCATATTCCACGACGGTAAAATGGGATGTAGGGTTTTTCTGTATAAGCCCAGTTAAATGCGCGGATTTGAAGTCGTAAAATACAAGCTCCTGCTCTGTGCCGACACTGTTTCACATGTTCAATCACTGTTGGCTCACTAATGCAACAACACAGTATGAGTAGCAAACCGTCTCGAGTAGGAATCGAACGCACTACCTCTAGTTGAAAACAGAATGAATTAGTGGTGAGGTCAACAAGGTTGGCTTCAGCTTAATGTAGTCGAAATGTTATCTACCAAATTGCATAAGATGTAGGTATACCTCATCCGTGGTATATACAGGGACACATGTTGTCTCTTTGTTGGATTTGAAAACACTAAGAACTAAGAAACGTTGCAACATCAACGGACTGCGATATGTTTCAAGAGGCGTTGCATTATCAACGAACTGCGATATGTTTCAAGAGGCGTTGCATTATCAGCGAAATGGGATATGTTTCAAGGGGCGTTGCATTATCAACGAACTGCGATATGTTTCAAGGGGCGTTGCATTATCAACGGACTGTGATATGTTTCAAGAGGCGTTGCATTATCAACGGACTGTGATATGTTTCAAGGGGCGTTGCATTATCAACGGACTGCGATATGTTTCAAGAGGCGTTGCATTATCAACGGACTGTGATATGTTTCAAGAGGCGTTGCATTATCAACGGACTGTGATATGTTTCAAGGGGTGTTGCATTATCAACGAAATGTGATATGTTTCAACGGATCAACAGTCTCCCCTCCCACGTTTTCTATAATGACAGACGGCGTCCCAGTTACCTTAATGTCAAACATCGAGATCTAAAATAATCTCAAAATCTTAAAATCAAATTGAGATCCGGGAAAAATACAGAAAATATTTTGATGCCTACCAACAACTTCCCTGGCAGAGGCGTAATGAAAATACATGCATCAAGCATTGCCATGCTGAAGGGCTGTCTTTGGACATGGATAATATCCGTTAGTTTCTAGAGCGCAAAGCCTAGCAATAGCTTAATGTTCCTGCAACATGAAGAAGCGTGTACTGAAACACATAGTGGCTTATGTGCCATGACTGTTTACGTATCGAGCTCGGTCATGAATGCACAAACGGACGGTGACAGATTGTCCCAGCTAGACTTGTAATAATTATAATCTTTGTGCATCACTTCTGGCTCTAAGACTAATAAAGCCTTTGAGGAGCATGCGGTGTCTCCCTGAATACAAACCAGCTTTGTTTAATGAAACAAAACGCAGCATCCATCGAACCTACCTGCAATGGCGACGGCACCCATGCTTGCGACGGCCGTCTGTCGAGAAGACAACACCAGTGCGGATTATAGGAACCCAATGAAGGAGAGGCAGCGTGGATCCACGCTCATCGCTGTTGGCTGCAACCCCTACAATGACACTTCAAGAGGAAAGATGAGCTGTGTGGGCATCATAAGGTATTTTGCCGGTTGATGAGCAATAAGCCAGCTTGCAGGGTATCTAGTCTGGTAACCATGACACCGCCAACGTGCGCAGTAACTGTTTTGTCTATTTGCCCACGGATTTTTCCCCGGGTGAATTTTCAGGACTAACAAATAAATTGCATTTTATACTGTCAAACGAGTCACTTCATCGTAGCAATGTGGTTGCGTCTTCGGTAGGCTATCAAATCACTTGATTTCACTGCTTCATTCTTGGATTAATCACCGATAGTTGATTGAGAATAATAGAACGAGAATGAAACGTACATGAATCATAATTCTGAAAATAATAATTACCACTAATTGGTCATTAGGAGACATTCCCATAAGAACGTGCACAAAGTTTTTCCAACTTTACTGTCCCATAATTAAATATTCCCTAATCTGATCTGAACAAACTTTGTATGTTTTCATTTTAGGCCCTAAACTATCATCTCTCAAAATATCGACACTAAAATTCGGCCTTCTTCTGGTAGTTTGAAAAAAGGGAAACACTGCAATGTCTCCCTAAAGCCAATGTCTCCCTTATGCCGAAAAATTTACCACAAAATGTCTCCCAAATGACCTATTTTTAAATATATTATTGGAAAGGGTCATTATTTAGCCCAAACCTGGGTTTTCCAATAGGCAATAGCATAAGTATTTACACTAACTTTTCCATTTTGTTTTCCATTTCAAAAAGATAAAAACCTTTATATTTTGAGGTACGCAAATACCTACTAGCCGTTAATGTCTGAATATAAGCATTATTCCGCCTAATTTGATTGTTAACATTTAATCTTACTTAAATTACCTTATTTCCCCAAAAGAACGGGCTGCTTTGAGAAGACTAAGGTCGTGATTTCTGCTTCTGATGAATGAGAGATAAACTACCCAGTGCGTAACACGTTACTGTCGCCAAAGAGTGATAATCCCAGCCACGTTGCCTCCGCAATTTCACTGTGTTGCCTCCTTCGGTATTCACGGCATGTACGAATCCTTTTACGTGTGTAGGCGCGTGGAGCTGGCAGAATAGAGCACCCATCTCCCCCAGCTTACGAGATGTTTTGCCCTCCACCTGCACTTAACCTCTGTGAGTGGGAGGTTTGCATACTTAATCCCAGCACATAATTTCCGTGTCCCACTCTCTGTGCTCAACTGCTTGTAATAAGGCTAATTTATGGTCTGAAGACGTAGATTGGCAAAATGGTTTGAGACAATTCGAGGAGACAGCTCCTTGCACATCTCAGCTGATCAGAATAATATTACAAATACACCTGAAGATTTTGAGCATCTGAGCAAAGGGCCTGGGTTTCACCAGACTACTGATGTCATAATGGAAGTCACATGTACACGAGCATTTTGCTCCCAAACCACTTAACGACATCGGCGGCCAAGTCTGTCCACAAAAGATGCACTGTACAAGATGTTGAGTGTCCAAAGTGCAATGCTCTATGCATATGTGTTGCGTAGAGCTTCAGAGAGTCGAGAGCTTTATTTTGTAGAGAGACACATGTTTTTTACCTTTGAGGGAAATTTCATGTTTGGAAAAGAAAAAGGGTACTTATGCCAACTGATCAAGCAACAAATCAAGACGTACTACACAACTTTTATCGAAGTTGAACGTAATATGTTTTGTGAATGCTTTAATTCCTAGCTTTTAACTAATATCATACAGATCTCCCAGTACGAGTATTAAATGCGACATAATCACCATTTAAAATTTCCCCAAAGTAAGCACCAGATCTTATTTGGTCAAAAACCTATTACCTAAGGATGTGTACTGGTCTTTATATCACTCTGGTTTTAACTTCTCAAGATTTTTTATTTTTTTATATGAAAGTGGTTATAGATTACAATCAACCGAGGAAATCTGTGCATAGATTTAAAGTTCGCAAGACGTTATGCCACTTTAAAAAATGTAAACATGAAAAATATTTCTTTTAAAGTAAAGCAAGAGATAAAAACTATGAGGCGCAACAGTTTTTGTTATTTAATCAAAACCTTCTTGGCATAAAAGCCATAATAGCCAACTGCCAACTGATACGTAATTGCATTAGTGCCATTTAAAATACAACAAAGATTACTGGTCATTTCCAAAATAAATCTGTCAATTGAAAATTGCGCGTGCCATGTCTATTTAAAAAAATGACATCTTGTGGAACAGGTCAATAGATTCAACGACATACCATTACAGTTTAATGATGCTGTGTTTTGAAATAGTCGGTATTTTCAGTCGTTACGAAGCAATGAATGCACGGATTACACCAGTAAGTCGTATTGGAGATGTTCAATAAAGATACAGAATAGGAAAATACATCTTTATATAATATGTCCCGACACCTCCTACGCATGTTAAACAGCTTCCGTAAGGACACACATAGCCAGTTAACGTCGGATATTCTAAATCAAAAAAGCTGCCAGGGCAGTTTTTTTGCCTGAAATTTTTTTTCGAAATTGCTATTTATTTACGACACAACCAATCACGACACATTAATACGTCAACCGTGGAAATGAAAACAAAAAGTCTTGAAAGAGTGTACACGTCCTCCGTGGAACAAATACAGAAAAGTGTGTGTTTATTCGTCATCCGGCGTCTAGTGGTTGAAATCCGACACTTTTAAAAATACACAACATAATACCCCACAATACCCTGACGCAAGTCCGCCACACATCAAACATTTCTGCTGTCCTAAATTTGTGTCTTTATGTTGTCCGTAACTTCCGTTGCTTAATGGACTTGGTTGCATGTCACACCTTATGTCTCAAACAACAAAGCGAATTCTGTAACGAGAACAAACACATAAACCGTTACTTCAGCTAGGCACTACTTTTCTTAAAACGGGCCACTCCAAATTGTGCTCCACCAAGAGTTTGCAATGTGGTGGCGACTGTACGCAATGTGCGTCTGAATGGGTTGACACTGTCCCGATGCGTGTCGACCGGCAATGCGCGTTTGGAAAGGGTCGACCCATTCGCGCATTGTGTTGGCCAACGCGTCGCAAACTCTTGGTGGAGCAGTATTTGGAATCGCCAAATGTGTTGATGTTAATGAACACTTTCTGAAATCGTCCATTAAAACCTGCTGTTTTAAATCAATCAATAAAAGAGCATTTGCACATGTGATTTGTACACGACTTGACAGGTAGTCGAACCGTACTCCATGTTACAGCATTGCAAGCGAATTGTGTCAGAGTAGATAATCTGTGGTGAGTTATTCACTTCTCTCATAAGGAAGCACACTAATAAAACACGTGGGTGTTAAATTGGTGTTAATTTAACACCCTGGGTGTTATCAGAGGACTACACACAGTCCGATGTAGTCTTCTGATAACACTCAGGGAGTTAAAATTGTCTTTACAGTACAATCAATGAGTCACGAAGGACAGATTTTACACCTACTGATTGCGTGCTGCGCGTCAGAAGTGTTGAAACAACGCGGCTCTTGCTTTTGAATGTGTTTTACCTTCAAAGTTGAGCGTACCACTTCCCGTAATGTCTGCCTCCTGGACAATTTCATCCACTTCGTGCTTGGGAATGTCGATGAATTCTTGGATGTTGCTCAGTACATAATGAAGTTCTTCGACACTGAATAGTTAAAGCACATATTGGAAGACTGCTGGATAGTTTGAGCTCGTTAACCGATTCCCCAGCTTTGGGTCCCCTCACAACATCCAGCGTATGTAACTGACACATTAGTAAAAGTCGTAAGTCGGTGCAAATAAATAAGGGCGATTCACAATAGTGCGCCACCAAGAGTTTGCAACGCGTCGGCCAATCACAAAATGTGTCGACCCTTTCCAAACGCACATTTGGTCGACAGATTTCGCGCATTGTAATTGGCCAACGCGTTGCAAACTCTTGGTGGCGCACTATCGTGAAACACCCCTTGATTTTGATGTTATACAACGGAAAGTCCTTGTCAAAAGCTAAAACCTTTGACGGACGTGCATGCATGGGAATGCACTTGTAAGACGTTCCCTGGAATAAAAAGCAATGCTGTATTAGAGCTCAATTAAGGTAGGCCTACTGATAAAGGCGGTGGCCACTTTGAACTGAGATTTGAAGGCCCCCAATCACTATTATTACAAAAAACATAGGCACGATAAACCGTTATCATATCTCTAGCCAGAGTTATGACTTTGGACCACATCCACTACTTACGCGAAGGAACCTTTTCCCTCCTTGTCAAAGGCTCTGAATGCTTCCCTGATTCCTTCGTCTCGGTCCACCACCTTTAGGCGGCGTGTCATCAATGCCATAAACTCCGGAAAGTTGACGATTCCGTTTCCTTTTGTGGCAATAATCAGACATAAACCAAGACAGACAACGTAAGCTCCCTGGTCGGACAAAAAGCATATAGATGTAGCTGGGCTTCTTTAGAGACTGGAGTGATTTCTATACCAGAAACTTTGTTTTGCCACGCATTCGAAAATGACAGCAGCGACTGAGTTTGTTGTTTTACATTATTTCAAACTTCATTCAAGTTAAAGAATCGCTTCAAAATCGCTGGGCTGTATGGTTACCAACTGGCTGATATTCCTAGAGGTTTCAACGTTGCGAGATAAATCTTGGCCTTTAGTTTTCGCTTTTTTTGGTTCGACATTATTGGTTTCGGTGTCTATTTTGAGGGCAACTTACCATCCATGTCTGCCTCGTTAATCATTCCATGTAACTCAATGTCAGTCGGATTTTGGCCGAGAGACTTTAATACAGCACCCAACTCTTTTGTTGAGATGTATCCGTTGCCGTCCTTGTCAAACACCTCAAAGGCAATCTTCAATTCTACAAAAAGAACACATAACAGCCTACCTAGTTTGTTTTTCTCTATTAAACCCACCGACCATAAATTTTACCAATTGTTTGGATTCTAACGAGAAACGCTCCTGGCTTTTTATGACTCGTGTCCGATTTTTACGGTAAATCCACCTACAGCAACATACACAAAACCTTGGAATAGTTGATGGGAAGTGGATTATCGTTTTTGTGAGCGATCTTTGGAATTGTCACAACGCAAACCCAATTGGAATAAGTCTTTTACGTAGGGATATGCAGGCGTAACCAAGGAGGAATAGGGGTAGTTGCACCCGACCGCTAGAAAAAAATGAAAATTTAAAGAAAAAGAGGGAAAGGAAAGAGTGAAAGAAATGAAAAGGAGATAAATACCACCAGTTTGCTTAAAGACTTTCAAGTTGGCCCCTCCGGCCTTTATCAACTGCTTATCATTTTATCTAACGAGTATATTCGTCCCCCCCCCTTGAAATTTCCCCACCTCCCCGAACGAAGTAGACCCCTTGATCCCCTGGAAATTCTTGCGATACCCACTATCGTGAGACCTTTGGAATACCGGGTAGAAAAATCCGTCTTTGTCCTTAAAAGAAACTTCATTCATTCCTTGAAAATGTCCGTTGCATGTCTACTCACCGTTGATCTGATTTTCGCTGAGTTCCTCGTCTTGTTCCTCGGATTCCTCATTCTCCTCATTCTCTTTAGCATTACTCTCAGCCTGTGATATATTATATTATACATTGACACTCACAATAAATTCGCAGGTTACCAGGCTTAGTTGAAGGGGTTTACTGTTCGACGCCGGAAGGTCGCCAGTTGCCTGCATCTCTCCGCAGGAAATGAGATTTCACTTGGCCATACAGTGTTTTTATCGAGGGCTATTAATTAACAGCGTAATTTCACTTTGATTTCAAAGAAATTGTAGCAACAATCCTTCTTTTGGGATTTTTTAATGGAATTAATCATTGTGTGAGTACCGTTCTCGACCGTCATTACGTTTTGATATTGTAGATGCATCATTTTTATAATATCCATTATTGCCTTGATTCTGAAAGAGGACACCTCTATCAACACCAAGAGATTACGCTTTTTAGAACTACTGTGTCCATCTTATTTGCAAACTGTCAATTTTGGCTACATGCGTTTTTACAATATTTCTGGAATATCAATTAGCTCTGTGGGATGATAGCAGAACGCAGAAATGCAGGTAGGGTTACAACACGTTGGTATAATTGCACGGCTTTGGATTTACTGCTTGGATATAATACCACACTACAAAAATACACTGTGCATGGACATACACTTTCAATGATAAATATTGTAATTGCGATAATTGTGCGACAGATGGCATACATCTTGTAACATTTAAGTGTGTACATATCAAACAAAAAATGACCTGAAGAATGACTCCGTTTAAAGTTTTCAAATTTCATGGCCTCAAATCATCTATAAAAATGCAAGGGAAGTATTCGGGACAAAACGTAATGAATAAGTACTTATTCAATACAATCACTTAAGTGATTGTATAAAAAAAAATGCACATTGGTCGATTCATCCCTGGAAAGGGTAGTTTACCACCTCGTGTAAAATGGTGGCCCACATGAAATTCTACGGTTGCAGATTCTTTCTGAGGCAAAATATTGTTTTAACTGACAGGTTAGGAAGTCACACACCCTGATCATTTCATGCCTGCCCACTCAAATGATCGGTCTGCCACACTGTACTGTGGACATATAGCCCTTCCAATATACACGAGTCACAAAGCTCGATTCATAAGGACTGCATTCAGGCTTATATTTTTTCAATAACAGACTTGCTAGTTTTGTAAGCCAGGGGAATAGACCTATACCGGAGCACTTTGAAGCTTCCGCATAGAAGCCTATAGGTGCACCCAAGTATTTAACACAAAGGCTACTGCACAGAGCTTTTCATACCCTACAGGTCGCCGCCTTACCAAAATAACCCCAACAATGCGTTGGAGCGGTACGTGCGCGATTAGAAAAAAACCAACAACTTGGTGAAGCCTTTTAGGGACATACTGTCAAAGGATCCTGGAGGAAGGATATCCCACCTTAATACTAGAATTCTAAAGTGAATAAACATGCGCACACTAGTGTGTGTATGTCGGCCGATTGAGAAAAGACGAAATGGAGGTTTGGCATAAGCAGTGAGCATTTAAATTCATACAGTACATTGTAACTGTATCGTTCTCATGACAACCATAATTAGGCATACTTCCTTTTATCATGTACAGGCCCATCATTCACAAGCATCGTTCCCTGATAATCTTTATGTAGCTCATATACAACAACGTTTAATTACCCATCATGTATACGAACCTTCGCGGTATAAATTGGAAAATGAACGTATCTGCATGAAATTATTTCTACTAGCACAACGCATTAACACTACTTCATAATATTCAAATCTGTACAAAAAAATATATATTGACGTTATCATGAAAGGCATATGCTTCATGACTGATCCATTCCCTAAAACTTACACGTGAAACTTACCATTTTCGATGTTTACAGCTAGGTCAAGGCGTATTTTATGTATTAATTATTCCTTTTGTGAACTTCAGCTTCATATCTGAACGTCACTGCATAAATGGTGTGTAGCAAGAAGCAACTTGAATGTTTATTCAAGCGAAACGTTCACAGGTTTTATGATACCACAGACATACAGTGTGCGGTGCTGGTAGGTCGCTGTAATTTTCCCCCATAAGGTCCCGCTTCGGTAACTTTGACGATAATGTATTCATTCTCCATGACACGCGTGCGCAGTGACTTTATGCAAAGTGTTTCCCAAAACGCGACCTCCTTTGCGAAGTGGACTGACAGGAAAGTCGCTGATGTTCACACTTCACCGTGGTTTTTCGATGGTTCCACGCCATCTGATGAAAGGAATGGTCGCCGAGTACCAAGTGCAAGAGGGTCCATAGAAATAATAACAGGATTCCCTATGGGCTCTTGAGTGGAACTCTGTTTGGTGTCACAGCTGAGTTGTTAACCTTCAAGTATTAATTAGTTCGACCCAACCACAATATCAACATCGGCTTCGACTACGCTACCTGAGTGTCGATCTGGGGTGTCTGCCTAAAACATCATGTTTATTATTAAGAGCCCGGTGTGACAATTAGATAATATTTTAAGAATTAATATCTTATCAGCGGCCACAAGCTGGAGCAAATTTATCCCTTTGCCAGCCTGAACTTTGTTTTGGGTCAGCATAAGCATTCACCTGACATGGAGAGGCTAACACGAATTACAGTTGACCTCCTCGCACAAAGATTGAAATCATATGTCATATGCAGGTGGTCCAAAAAGGTTCGTCTTACTTCAAAGAGCTCGCACGGCAAAACTGCATTTCTCGACAAAAAATAGCATGGGATGCAGTCGGAAAGTAAAGATTGAATGCTCTTCACTAAAACAATACCAGGCTGGAGGATTACACTACGGGTCAAGCATCACCAGCACCTCTGTCTAAAACTTGGATGCCAAACTGGCCGGGGGCTGCCGTGAGCACAAACGCATAGACAGACCCAGCTTTGACCCCTGCCGAGTATAAAAGGAACTCTTTAAGGCATTCCACTAGATAGCATACTTTTTGCAAATTACTGTATAGTTGGGCTGCATCTCAAATAGGACTACCCTCCCCGTGTTACGTAAAACGAAAGGCTAGAATGAAAGGCCTTATGATATACGTGGTCTGATGTGCTGGGGGGTGAAGCCGAACCTGGCGTACATTCGATGATTGAAAAAGTGTCATATATCAAAACAACCTTATACAAACATGGCGGTGCCCTACTCGCTGGGAAATGTGATGGACGGTAGACTCGAAAGACGGAAGTTACACGATGATACAGCGCCGACCAGTGAAGTCCCGACAGCTGTGCTAATTTCCTTTGACGATGAGCCTTCATTGGAAGGAACAACGGGTAATGTGGCGGATCAGACCGCCAGTGCTATGCAGGAATACGATAGCGACAGGGCGACCGAGTCGATGCAATTGGACACCGCGGTCGATGGCCCGTCGAGTCGGGCGCTAGCAGGTCCTGGACCGGGCGGTGGTGGTCAGGTGGTAAATGGAGCGGATGGTGACAAGGTGACCTTGGAAGCTAGCAAAATCGACTCACAGAAACGGGTAGGCTATAATATGCCGATACTGATCGTAATAAGTTATTCGGGGGTGATTGCAGAATACCCCACCATGCGAAAATACACCCTAGGGCCCGAGGGGGCCTAAAAATCCACGTAGACTCGAGTAGAGGTTGTTCAACTTCCCGGGTATCCAGGTAACCTTGCTGCATCAAGGCATCATGTTGTGTACAGTACTGAAGTCATTTTTGAGAACGAAGCACGCATCTCACTAGGGGAAGACTAAAATAGGCGGAAGAATTTTCTAAATCCAATGTGGGTCTTGGGGAGCAGCTACATGGATACAGGGATACAAAGTGGGCCTTGTGCTGTCCTGCAAAGCAAAGTGATTGGGGAAGGTGGAAGTATTTTTGAAGTCCAATGTGGGTCCCCGGGAGCTGATATTTGGACCAGGTGGATAGTTAGGGGTAGGAATGTTGTTGATAAACGTGATAACGACACAAATTATCGAGGAAAGAATGTTGCATCCTGCCTTAACTTTTTTCCTCACATAGGCTAGGCCTATCCCATTACATGTCAGTCAGTGAGAAATGCTGAAAAGGCATGAATCTAGGCCTGGAAAAATGTTTAGATTTGTTTGGAAATACAGTCGTCGAAGTGGAAGCAGGATGCAACATAATTACATTCTCTCCTGTGGTTGCGTACGGTTGTTTTTCCAATGCTGCAGGGAACGATGGAGGAGGTGAAACTTTGTGGCTATCTGAACAAGATGGGAGAAAAAGGACTGATCAAGACCTTCAAGACAAGATGGTAGGTAGATATGGGCCTCAGAAATACCTTAGATGGGTGTTCAACGTACATGTACCACCACCACCACTGTGCTGTAGGAATGATTCATGACGATGTCTGCTGGGGTCCCAGGACTATGGGTTTGTTACCTCTTTCAGGATAGCCCCATGATCGAAATGGTAGGTAGATTTGGGTCTCAGAAGAACCTTCGATGGTTTTACCACCACTGTGCAGTTTGAATATCTCACAATGTAGTCTATTTCCAAATGGTCTAGACCCTTTTTTAGGCCCTCTCATTCCCCCTTTCAGGGTGGCTCCATGCTTGGAGGCAGACTAAGGAACCCTAGACTTTTGGGGTTTTTTTGTCAGGGGGTACAAATTGAGGTCATCGCAGAGCAGTCACTTCTCATACCTCATGAAAACTTCCAACATCCTGGCGTCAAGCCATACATTACTTTCGCATTGACAAGTACTCAGCAGTTTTGACGTTATCCAAGATAACCCCCTGCTGTCATTAGTCTCGGCATTTTGTGAAATAAACAATAATCATTGTTAAGCCATTTTCAAAGTTCTAGTACATCTAGGTTAGAAACAGTACCATGCTTGAGCTGCTTGAGCGTCATGCATTTCCCATATTTCGTTTCTTGCCCTAGCCATGTCTTTTTGAAGCAACCTTATTGGTTAGGTAACCCGATACTTTGCATTTTAAGTAAACAGACCCTTCAAAACTGACATTTGGTACAGAATGTCTGTACATGTAGTTGTGAACACTATCCGTTATCCAACCTGATGGAGAGAAAGAGGCTTCTCAGTAGAAAACCAGGAGCCTGCAACTTGCACATACACCAAACATGGCATTTTCCCTGACAAATGACAGAAGTGATGAGCAGTACATACGTGTTTGATGATAACATCACTCTACACATCCTGTATTGGGATTCTACTGTGTGCTTCGTTCTTGTACAATGTGGTCCCATTGTCTAGACGTTTAACAGGAAGTGTCCATAAGACAGCGTGTGATTACGTAGAAGCTATCAAAAGCTGTAATGTACACTTTGTATTCACTAGTGAACGTGAACACTGTTATAGTGTGCTAGTTCTTACGTTCAAGTGTTCACCTTCCTATCACAAGCGTGCCATGAAGTGATATTTTGGAGACTTGCTAATCTGAACAATAGGCCCATACATTTTTAAGTGTACATGTAGTATCCTAACTGGAGTGTTTTTAACTTGAAGGCTGACGATCTGTATCAAAGCCCCACACTTCACCATAGTAAATGTACAATGTACATGTATTACCAATATAGGTGTTGAGATCTTACTGTTTAACCTAAGGAAGAGGTTAAGAATCTGCCCCTTAACTTTTTTCTTGGATTTGATTTAATTTGATTTGATTTGATTTCCACATTGAGAGTGTGTCAACTGATGACTTACTTAGGTCTCAGTCCCAGAGTTATTTAATTTGGAGTTCCCACTTCTAGGTGATGTCCAATTTTCAGGAATACAGTACATGACCACACCGTACTTTTCATTCTATGCACTTGAGGAATGGTGTCCTGATGATAGCATGCTTTACTAATGATTGAATTACAAAGCGAAGCTTGACTGACTGTTTGAACAGTACTCGCGGTGAATTGGAAATGTAGGGGGGGGTAGAGTCTGGCTGTGAACAACTGGTTCCTCATCTTCCCTTCTCTGCAGGTTTGTCTTTGACAATCAAAGATGTCGTCTTTATTACTACAGAACACCACAAGATTTATTGCCTCTTGGGTAAGAATTCCAATTCCCTTCAGAACTTTCAGATTTATTTGGAATCTACATGTACTGTATTTTTGGAGGTGGAGATTTCAAGGAAACTTGTCTTTTTTCCCTTTATTCTACTCTCAACTAGTCAGCGGTATTTGATCAGTCTCAAATATTTTACAATTAACAGAAAGTCTACCACTTGTAATTATGTTCCAGTGTCATCTCCATGTTGGTCCTCCCATTTGGGCGGGATCTGCCCCCTTTAAGCCCACTTGTGACTGCATATTTTATGACCCAAATGGAAAACATCATTTTCTGTTGATTATATCATGAAAAGCTTAAAATTTATGCTTTTTTGCCCGGTGTTCTGTAGGTCTATTGATATTGCGAATGCGTCATTCAACTTTGAGGCCAGTGACTCCACCGGTACAGGCCACTTTCACATCTCGTAAGTTTTTCCCTTGATACGCAGTCTGTCTAATTAACCTACAAACGAGCGCATTAATTCATGATCACAATGTCAGTGGAATCATAGTACTCCTGAGCTGCCCACTTTTTCAAACCTGTTATTGCGGAACTTTTTGAAGGAGCATCTTCCAAAATGCCATTTACATGTGTGTTGCACAGTAAAGCTTTCCTTTTTCTCCATATAATGAGCATACATGGACATGTACATTGGACTTCTCATTTTGGATTGGTTGTAGGACGGGCGGCCGTGTTTACCAACTACAAGCCAAGGACAGACACACCATGATGTTCTGGTTACAAGAATTACAGGTACACATATACAGCCACTAGCTGCAGAATGATTCCATTCACCTCCCACCCATTATGGGCCCTGCAAAAAGAGGGGGTCATGCCTTACCCCTTCCCAGTTGGAAAAGTGGGGGACCACTGCCCCTCTGCCCCCCTCTCCTGCTGGCCGTGAATACAGGGTATGCTTCCAAGCGATTTTAGAAGCATTTTGGGTGTAGAATTTTAAAGAAATTTTATTATCTCGCTCATATTTTTTTCCAGATTGTGAGTAAATTGTTTGAAATACTCAGCGAACAATGTCATGGTTTTATTGGATTCAAAGATCTATAAGAAAGAAATCAAATTCAAATTAGAGGCATGTGAAAGTGTTACATAGCCTTGAGTGATTTCAATTTCACTTTCCATGTTCAGACTGAGAAAAGAATGTGACTGGTTAGTAGCATCCTTCCGTGTTTAACCCAGGACCAAATTTCCACAAATTATAATTTTGATACACCTGAACACCTCTTGAATAGAGGTAGTGTTGTGTAGTCAAGTACTTTTCGAGTATCAAGTTGTCTGCCAAACTAGTTAGGAGGGAACAAAGCTAGGTACGGGGACATTTGATGGCACATTTCCACTCACATATCTGTTATCAAATTGAATGCCTACCATCCAAAATCACATGACTTAAAATCCTCTATTCAAGTCCATCACAAGACCAGTCACAAGACTAGTCACAAGACCAGTCACAAGACTAGCCACTGGTCACAAGATAGACCACTTACAAGACAAGTCACAAGACCAGTCACAAGTAACAAAGTGAACATTGACAAAGGAATGATTTTGTTGGACTTCATTTCGAACAGGAGGTCGCATGATGGTCTTGTGATGGCCTTGTGATGGCCTTGTGATCATCTTGTGATGTTCTTGTGATGGTCTTGTGATGGCCTTGTGATGGCCTTGTGATCATCTTTTGATGGTCTTTAGGGGTCTAGACTACTGCACTGCAGCAGTGCACATATCTGAATTATGGAGTTGTATGTGTCTTCCATCTTGTACGGATTTTGAAGACTTGATGTTGATTATTTTTGTAGGAGCGTCGCAGAGCTTATAGCCACCAGAGAACCTCCCTGCAAAGAGACAAATCCCTGGGTCATGTGTCACCAACATCCTTGGTAAGAATCGAGGCAGAAAACTTTGGGCTTTTCCTCTGTCAATAAATACTCAACACACTAAAACTAAAAACAACTTCAAAGCCAAATACTCAATGAGTAATGCAAGTTGGGTAGTTTTGAGCGTGTATATCCACAAACCCAAAATCCAATCAAAAAGAGCAGCAGCGTGGTCCAAAATCTCTCCGTTTTAATATTACCCAAAACTTTTTTCTAATTCAGTAAAACCTTTCTGACAGTAAGCACAGCCTCCCAGTTTCATTTACCAATGAGAATTAGATGAAAAATAATGACAGGGATGGAAAAAACGTCTCCAGGACATTGCAGATAGGCCTGGATAGATTCGGATTCACTTCAATCAGCTTATCAAGTCTGTTGTCAACTTTGCTTTCTCATGTTAGTACATATGGGACAGGTTAGCACAAGTTCTACTGAGCTTCCCCATCACCAACTATTTCAGGCACGCATTTCATCAGGGCTGTGAGTTGTTAAGGCTATGTCCAAATCAACTGGCTGCGACTATGAATAACACGCATGTCTATGGGGAGGAGCTGCACTTTTTAGCCACAGCTACGACTTTCAGGCAAAGTCTTAGCCTCAAGATGACAGGTTATCAACTAATGCAACCACTGTCAACTGTGAAATTCCCTTTTTCAAACTTTAACTGATCAGTTGACTTCCAATTGGACTGTTTTCCATTGCAGCAACCAAAGACTGGTCTTGTCAGTACGCAGAAGATCAAGGATAGGAGTGGAGATCCATTCAGAGGTCAGTCTTGAAACCTAAACGTGCGCATACCTTACAGACACATTGTGGAATTTCCTAACTTCTAAAGTCAGTTAATTTTTGATTTGCTCCTTTCCACAGGGTTGCCCCCTATTCTAGGGCCAGTGGAACTGCCCACACATTCAGTGGGTGAGTCTACGGCGCATACCATGCAACAAACAGGGATGTTCAATCTCTCTCTGACAAACCTCAAAACAGAAATACGAAACCAAATGTCCAGTCTGGGGTAAGTTTTTAGGGGACAGACAGTTTCATTATTTTCCACTTTTAAATATTTGAAAAGTAGATGGTATGTGTTGTATGCATACCTTTCATCATAGGAATAAAAATAGGTTTTTTTTACTCAGTTGCGCTAGAATCTGCAGGATGCAAGAATTGAATTTGTTTGAATTTGACTCAAATTTCACCCTCTCTTGTGCTTGGTTTCAGCTTACGTCGTAATGCATCAGACGAAGCCCCTTTAGTAAATCTTGCCTCGGAGACATCACAGACAGACCCACCAAAAGCAGTCAAAAGGTAACATGATGAATTTCATCAAACTCCAGCTATTTTACTCATGCATATCGAGGGCCGTTTTTTTGGCCATGGTTTGCGTGAGAATGAACAATGTGGCGTGTAAGTCAGCAATCTCTAAAGTGTCTAGACAGGTTTGCAAAACAAATTTTAATGTGTTCCATGTGCGTGCTGATTGGTCCACAACTTGCATATTACAATTCATAATTCAGGTCATGATTTTCTTCAGTTCGTTTCATTTTCCGGAAGAAAAACTTTGATTTCCATGGTAACAGTACATTATTGTCTTACTTTTTCCTCCACATTAGACCCTCTTCACTGAATACAGCTCCCTCTAGTGGCAATCAGGAGCCAGGTCAGTCAGAAAGTTTACCGCCAGCAGATCAAGGAACAAGGAAAGCGTACGAGTCATTCAAAGCTGGATTTATCAAGTAAGATATCTGTAACCATGGTAACCGTTACCGCCTATTTGAAGGTTGTCAGCTCTTTCCATTTCAAATTTTTTCCAAATTTTCACAGTTTCTTTTAACCATTCCGCTGTTTGCCTGAGGAATTAATCCCTGCACACGTTTACTGTTACTTTTTTTAATGACCGTGGCAGAAATAGAAAGAAGAACTCATCGTTTTCTTGTTCACTTTTTCTTTCCAGTTTCATAACAGCTTTATTACTGATATTCTAGTAACATCTGGTTGCTTACGACTGTGGCCTGCAACCTACAGAAGTAGGCATGGGGGCCAAATAAGTTGTACTTCTCTTCCACCATGTTTGAAAAAAGCCACCAAGCTTTAAAGTCCAACCGCCAAGTTTAAAATGTGGGGTTACATTTCCATTTGGGAATATTTCAACCAATGGGCCTATAAAGTGTAATCTCAAGAAATAATTACTATTATTGTCTGGAATTGCTTCCAATTCCAAAGATGGCAGGGATGCCAAAAGTATTGTAGCTTGTTGACAAGGTCCTTAAGTATTAAAATCATTATGCCCCCCCTCCATTTATTTTTGTCATCCCTATCAAGCTTGAAATTCTCAGCCCTAGCACTGTTCAGAGGATATAAACTGAGAGTAATAATGTAACATAACAGTGAATCCTGAGAGAACCCGTCTCGGGCCTTGTCTGCAGGGTTTGCCATACTCAGGTTGGCTTTGTTCAGCTTCATTTATTTATTTATGTCATTTTTTGTCTACCTCATCTCCGTCGGCTTTCTAAGGCCAACCCTGGATCAACCCAAACAGGAAATAGTCTCAGAGGAAATAGTGTTCTTTCATAACAAGACAACCACATGTAACCTTTAAGCTAGAAGATTATCCTTGTGTGAACAGTCTGATGACAACCTCTGTATTTGAAGACTAAATACACTTGTTAGTTTGTCATTGGTTTCATGAGTCCACTGTAGTTGTACTAATTGATTGATATACAGTACCAGTCGTTGATTGCTGTTGTGGCAAAATATCAAATATTTACAACCTTTGGGTATAAATAATATAGGTCTTAAAAAACAAAACAAAACAAAGCATATTGAGCACTGTGTGAAAAAAAGCAAGGAAGATTATGCCCAGAGCCGCTTGGCTAGTTAAAATGTGCTAAGTGGAGCTTTGTATGCGTATACTGTCTGATTTGTCGATGTTTTCATGTGGTAATACATGACACAAATTAGCTTGAGATGTACAGAGATAATGGAAGTGAAAGGAGAGTTTCAGGAAGTGAAATGGAAATAACACACGCTTGCCTCCAATTACATCAACAGGTCTTTACATGCACCTGTTATTTTAACTAATCATGGTTTGTTTCAGAACTCAAAATAACAGACAGCCAGGGAGTGTTGAATGACTTGTCAGTTTGCAGAAATCATGTAAAAGATGAAGGTAGAAATTTCTAAGCAGCATTAGAAAATCCCCCTAGTGAAAACGTACATGTAATATACACATACATACCTGTTCAATCATAATTGAACCATGTGTTTTGTGATCTGTCGGGCAATTGTCCAATGGAAGACTTTCAAAAGACTGTAAAGAAATCAGTAACCATGTTCAGGCAAGTACTGTGAATTCTACATGTACATCTTACAAATTGTGACTTGGTTTATTTACTTGGGTCAAAGTGTTTCCTGGTCGGAGCTTGTCCATCTTCGCTCACTCGTAAAACCTGACAACCTGTGATCATGACTTTCTCTTTTGCATTTATTACCCGATTAATTCAAGATTGATTTATTGTCGAAGGAATGTTGGAGTTAACAATTAGTTCTTGCTGTGATGTGGGACATGAAGTTTTAACACCCAACTATAGTCCATGATAACACAATGTGATGTTCAGTGGTGAGGGTGACATGCATTTTTATTGCCTGGTCATGTAATCGTTGAAGGCAACTCCCAACAGTATTCAAGACAGAGGTGTGACAAATGTTGAATTCTCACCTGTGTTTCACTTTCATACCAGGAAGTTTGGTAGGACTAGTTCTGCTGACATACCGTCCCCGACCGCAGTATGGTTTGAGAATGAATCAGTGCAAGACTACGAGTGTGCCCAGTGTAGGAAGGTTAGCATTATTATGAAATCAGACCAAACCCTGGAGAACATTCAAGTGCCCTGTCCCATCTCTCTCACGTTTGTTGACAATCTTGCCTCTGCATCTATGTGTACTTGGTTCACTTTGTATAAAACTCCTTAAAACAACTTGCAAACATTTGGGCTAAAAGTTTCAACTCGTGAGAAAATGTAAGATGCAGTACCCAACTTTTAATTTACTGGTACGTCTAAATGCTACAAGAGCTGACTCAATATCTGTGTAATATTTCCTACCCAACCCCCTGGCCCTGTTCTGTAGTAATTGGTACCACCATCTTTATTTGCTGCAGACCTTAATCATGACGCTGACATGTTTGTCTTGTTCCCTGTAGACCCATTGGCCGCACAGCGTGTGTAGTAATACAACTTCACATATTGTTAAAAGGGACCAGACCATTGTCCTTCCAGCCTCAGTTTGGTTACACTACTTTGAATAATAGAAAAGCAATATGGCTGCCCCCGTGATAGAGATCTATAGCGACAGGTTCTGCTCACACATTCTCTGGCCTGAACAGGTAGTCTGTCTTCTTGGTCCCTACAGTTCCACTCTCAGTTGAATGCAGTCCAGGAGGAGTTGGAGTTAGTGGAGAACGAAGTCAAGGCAAGCCAAGAGGTTATCACCATGCTGCATAAGCAACTTACAGCCACACAGATGGAACATTCCACCAAGTAAGGCACAGAGTCGACATTTTGGAAAACACCTCTCAGAATAGGCCAGAAATTAAAGTCGCTATGTGTGATTTTAGGTTGTAGCACTTCATGGTAACAAAAAATGTTTCATAACTGTTGCAGATAATTCTGTCATAGACCCATCCAGTAAGCGTTCGCAGTGTTATAACGAATCACTAAATTTGTGACTCAAGTCGAGTGGAGTCATTAAGGCAAGAAGTTGAGTCAAGTATCGAGCTCGAGTCAATTTGAGTCACAAACTTTTGAACAAAATGAAATAAAAACATAATTAAATGTACTAGTAAGTCATTTTTGGGTATTTTTATTTTCATTTAGACTTAGTGAAAATAAATTGGGGTGACAGGTACATGTATCTAGCCAACTAAAGTTTGGCTTTAATTTTTTGAGACTTGAGTACTCAAGCCCAGTCTCCTTCAGAGATTTGAGTCCAGTCATTTGGTTGAAAGTTTTGCATTAGCACTGTGATTGCTAATGGTTGACTTCAATAATTGATTGATTATTGACGAACGATTAATTTACACCAATGGGAGACTTAGAGACGTGTGGCAGCAAACATACCAGGCCTTTTTACCCGTACTGCACATGTGCGCTTTGCTCTGAGCATGTTCAATACTGTTAACAAGGACTGGTTTATCGACTGCCACCAGAATCAAATTCTTGCATTTCCTTCAAACCTTCAGTGTTTTTGTACCTGTGCAATTCCAATGTCACCAGAATGGAAACTTTCAAAGTTTTTATGTCGGCTGCACTGGCTTTTGGCTCTTTCAATTTGTTGTTTTTTTTCCAGCGACATCTTCCTACAGAGTAAGACGGACAAGGAAAAGTTGTTGATCTTAAATCGTAAGGACAAGCAACTGATCCAGTTAGAACAGTTGCTTCAGGAAATGAGGGAAGATCGTGATAGGGTCGTGGAACAGTTAAGGTATGTGAGAGTATAAACTCGCCAATTCCTTATAAAGCGTATCCCTTGTGAGCTTGTGACTGGCCTAGTGAAGGGACTTGTGACTGGCCTTGTGAAGGAACTTGTGACTGGCCTTGTGAAGGAACTTGTGACTGGCCTTGTGAAGGGACTTGTGACTGGCCGTGTGAAGGAACTTGTGACTTGCCTTGTGAAGGAACTTGTGACTTGCCTTGTGAAGGGACTTGTGACTGGCCTTGTGAAGGGACTTGTGACTGGCCTTGTGAAGGGACTTGTGACTGGCCTTGTGAAAGAACTTGTGACTGGCCCAGTGAAGGGACTTGTGACTGGCCTTGTGAAGGGACTTGTGACTGGCCTTGTGAAAGAACTTGTGACTGGCCCAGTGAAGGGACTTGTGACTGGCCTTGTGAAGGAACTTGTGACTGGCCTTGTGAAGGGACTTGTGACTGGCCGTGTGAAGGAACTTGTGACTTGCCTTGTGAAGGAACTTGTGACTTGCCTTGTGAAGGGACTTGTGACTGGCCTTGTGAAGGGACTTGTGACTGGCTTTGTGAAGGGACTTGTTATAAATTAGTACCGTCTAATGTCTCCAGCTCTTCAGACTCATTTTGTGAGCCAGTCCAGGATGACAAGAAAGAAGTGGTAGTTGGCTAGCTATTGGAGAGTAAAGCCGCATCGAAAATAAGCCTTCAGAGCCTTGTCTATACCTGCTGTCTGCATGTGACCATGTATTCACCATCAGGGAAGACGCAGACGCAGACTCTAGCCACAAGACTCAACTTTTGCCTCAGTGGAGTGTAATGCCTTCGGATACTCACAGAAATCTCACCTCTGTTCAAAGCCTTCTCAGTGCATATAATTCACCTGGAAATGAAATGCACCAGACATGCATGAATCTTGCAAAGAGTCCACCGGAATTGCTGTATGAATTCAGTCCCTTATACTGCATCTTTTGTGTCCGCAGGTCAAAGGAGAGAGAAGTCGATCATTTGAATGAGCAAATATCGATGTTCATGGAGCTGATCACCGCAAAGGATCAAGTGGTCATGTCACTCACATCGAGGGTGAGTAAGTTGCTCTTATATATTTTTACAGAGTAGTAACTCGGGAAATTGAAGCAATTTGTTTCAGTCTTTTTTTTTTATGAGGGTAAACTCCATCAGTGCACAGCACTGCTTTCCAAAGAGGCCCTCAATTAAAACACAATCAGTAAAAAGTAAAATTATTATAGAAACCGTTATTCTTAAAAAGCGCAGCAAAAAAATGTTACTTACAATGAAGTTACATAGGACATTAATACGGGAAAGAGTAAAACTTGTTAAGAAAATCAAACTTAAAATACAAAAGTCTATAAACAAATAAACATAAAAATGAGGTCATTGGCAGACCTTTAGAATGATTGGTGTTCGGATTACATTATTATATGTATTAATTAGATAAGATGATATGATTAATGTGGTTTTGTTAATTACCAGGTTTGTGAAGATCAGTTGTGTCAGGTGCAACTAACAGTGGTGCTTATGGAGGGTAATTTGTTGCTGAAAAATTGTCTGTAGATGGCTGTCTTTCTTTGACATACATTAGCTTCTTTGTTAAGGTGCATGAATTGGAGCAGAATGAGCCCATCAGGCTGACTACCAAACCCCAGGGGACACTACAACACAGACCGTTGTCCGGACCCCAGGGCAGAGGGTCGGGCTCCTTCACTGAGCGCACCACTGATATTCCATTCATTGACCAGGCTGCCTTTGACAAACTCAAGGTACTTGCATGCTGATTATACAGACGTTCCACCAATTCCCATGTTTTTCCCCACTTGGTAAAATCTTTAAAAACTTATTTATAAGTGAAGCCCATAACAGGAACACCTGTTGCTCAAGATTCTTCGACTTTCAATTTTTGAATTTCCAGCCACCTGTTATGCTGCAACTGAAGCCGTCACTTGATTTATCCTGACTGGTTCAAATTCCCTTCTTACCGGATTGCTATTTGACTTGAATGACTTCTGCTTGCATTTATAAGATATCCATTGGGCTGATATTCCTGTCTTTGCAGGACGCTTGTCAGGCCTTCGAGACACAGAACAAGTTCCTCAACACGGAGATCCTTGAGCTGAACAAGATCCGAGAAGATGACCTCCTGAGAGAGAGAATGATGTTTGAGTAAGCGATGTCATCTTGGTCTCGTAGATAACATAAGATGCTTGTGATGAAAACAGTTTCCTCGTGCAGATTAGTACGTCACATGTTTTTGAACGGTACCCATTTTCCTTTCGTAGGAAGCATTCTGAGTTGGAAGCGGAGTTTTACAGGACTCAGAGTAAATACTTGCTGCTACTTGACCAGCTGAAAACACCCAAACGAGGTAAAACTAAAAATGGAATAACCCAACCTCATCAGAATGAAGTAAGATGGAGCCCAACAACGATATTGCCTTATGTGGGGCTAGATGGATACCTGTTAAAGAGTGACAATTCAAATAGTGTGCTCTCTTTGGAATACTGGGGGGATTTTTGGAGTTTGCTGAAGGTCCTTTGTAACAAACTCAGTGGAGTCATGGCTAAGGAATGGAAACATATATACAACTCAGAACAAATGTACACTGATATTCTGAGTTCTATATGATGGTGTGCTGATGGTTTAATTCAGAGAGACAATACACATGTGCAAAGTGATGAATGAAGAATGAATTAACAGGTGATTGCACAGGTGTATTGGCAGCTGTTATGTTAAATGCTCAGATGAATTCACGAGTGTTGTATGAATGCACAGACATGTTGGCAGATGTACTGATGAATGGGCAAATGGAGATACATGTATATTGATAGGTGTACTGATAATGAATGGGAAGACAGGTGTAACATGACCATGGCGATACATGTATGTTGACAGGTGGACTGATGAATGGGCAGACAGGTGTAACATGACTATGGATCTATACATGTATGTTAACAGGTACATTGGTGAATTTGCTGTATAAAGAAGACTTTCATGCACTGTGTTATATGTCTAGGTTCAGACTTAGTCAATGAGACAGATGATGAGCTGATCTCTAGGCTGATCGAGGAAGCCATCGAGTCGGATACCAATGATCAGACACAACCCTCAACTCAGGCAGTCGTCAAGTAAGCTACCACAGTCATCTCTAAACTCGAAATACATATTTAATTCAGAATACAAATCTGTTTAATTCAGAATACAAATCTGCTTAATGATAGAAATACATTTGTAGGCTTCAGCTCAGGGTATCTGGTTTTCTCCACAAAAACACAAAGACTCTGTAAGCAGTGCTGCAGTTGAGACCATCGTAAGACCAGCTACTAGACGGGCGTAAAGTGACAAGTTTACAGTTCATTTGAATAGCTTCTGACTTAATGACAAACAAATAGGGTGTCTAAATTATGGATAATTGGCTCCACAGTGAAAGGTACGATCGCTACGGCTTCATTCAAGAGATGGAAGAGAACGGAGAAGAGGCTAGCAAACTGGCGTCCAAAGCAGCTGTGGCTCAGAGACGGTCAGAAGAGATTGAGGTAAGGTGAAGCCCTAAGAAACAAGGGCAGATCAGGAGAGTGGGGATCATGCTTCCCTTCCGCCCACCCTGAAAAAGGAGCCAAAAACTCCAACTCACTCCCACAAAAAACCCAGTTTGACTCCCCCCCCGGGAAAAAAAATGGTTCTGGATTCATACTTTGATCAGAAACAGTTACCACTCTGTTTCTTTGTCTTCAGACTTACACTGTGTATCATATTTATTATTTATCTTGCAAAGCTTAACTGAAGTTAAATGTTTGTCATTAATTTACACTTTCTGATTACAAATAATATTTGATTTTAGTTTATTCCTTGAGGTTCTGTATGACTTGGTAAATGCAGGACGATGCAAATGAAAAATACCCTACAACATCACCAGACTACGGCAGTGGAAATTCACTGAGAAAACTACAAGTTTTTTTTTTTTACAAATTTCCTTTCATATCCAGATCAGATGTTTGCTACACGCAAATTACCCAGACTTTAATAAAAACCAGAATGACTCTACAAAAAGTCTTGTACCTCCGGATTTCATGGAGAATGAGTTGAAAAAGACACCATTGTTTTTTAATTAACATATTTAAATGGATATCTCTTTATTATTTCTGTCTTCTTTGCAGTCACAGCGGTCTGACCGTGGTATATCATTGTCTATCAAATGGGAAAATTATCTTGTACAGCATGGAGATGGAGAACTAACTAAAACGGTAAGAATTCAGCGGCCTACGAGCCGGACCAAGAGAACGTGCAATTTTCCTCTGGTAGGAACTGCACTCTCCTGGTTCACAAACAAGTATGAAGTGCACTGTATGGTTGCATCGCTCTGAACAAAATCAACGCTCCACACCAACGTGGCTCTGTTCAACCGATGAGGAGATACTTCTGCTCAAGGCAGATTTCTACAAACTTTAAGGACTGGCATAACTTCGCTTACATCACATTTCATTGCATAAGGTGTGCTGCAAATTAGGACGCACTTCAAGTTAAGTGGCATAAATTGTGCCGAACACTAACTAATCATGTTGAGCCAAAGCTCATCATTGCTCAACTTAACAGGGTGTGTGGCACAGTTTGATCTTTGTATTTGGAGATAATGAAAATTGTTTGGCCATAAGAAACTTCAACATTATTTTGCCTGGTTCCAATAAAGAAAAGGCAAACACCTTTTCATAATGGCGGACAGAGCTAACTCAGTGACTGTTCCTGATTGCTGTAATAATAAAGAAGACAGACTGTCATCAAATTTGTGATCATCCTACTTCTAGATGTTTAACCCCTTCGCACCGGGAACTGTTGACAGCCGCGGCTTTGTGTGAGGATTAGTGCATACCACACATACAGTCTATTCACCATGCAGCTGCTGGTTCAATGGGGCCTCCTGATGGACAAAGGCCTCCATTCAGGTCATAACACAGTCAAGCAGTCACGGTCCAAAGAATTACTGGCGCGAAGGGGTTAATGTAATTAAAGCATTAAAGCACTACTGAAAAACATATCTTGAAGTCAATAAGAAGAAAGAAGGAGCTACATCCCACTTTTGTGGCGTAAAGCTTACGCATGGTGCACATTTTTCTAAAGAAATACTTAGTGCTGAAATTTCCCTCAGCATAAAAACGTGCATAGCCAAAACAGGCTACCAGGCGAAGCTTAGCAATTTCATTTGGCAAGCACTCCTTACTTTATTTGGATTTCAGGAGATTTCCCTTTAAGGCTAAGTTGTTCATTTAGCAGAGCTCCTGTGGTGTTCTGGAGGTTTATGTCTCTCATGTCGATTTTTGTTTTGACTTTTTTTAACTTTTTCGCAGTTGGAATTGAAGTTTCTTGTACGTCAAGGTATCCCACATGAATATCGGCACAGAGTATGGAAAGCGTAAGTATTCTGATTTGTGAGAATGATGGTGTCATATGATGCCGTTAGTTTGGTCCTAGGAATTAATGCATCCTTCAAAAGTGAGCTTTACTGTAAGATTTTCATCTGGGAAAAGGTCTTCTTAAGGCAAGCAGGCTTTCATGTACAAGGATTGCCTGAAGTTGAAAAGAGGAAGTCAGAATGTTGATAATTTGGGGTTTTTGTGGTTCTGCTTGTGTAGAATGGTTGAATGGCACGTGAAAAAAGACAAGGAGCTGACTGGACCTGGGTACTACGATAAGCTCATCAAATCTGAGGTAAAGATGGAGTCTCTTGACAAACTAGAGATGAAAGGGGAAGAAAGAGATTGACAAAGCCAATCAATTTCCACATAATGAAAATTTCTTCCTGATAATGTCCCACAGGAATGCAAGCGTTCCTCTGATCTGCTGATTTTCTGTTACGATGTATGCCATCACAATTTTGGATAGCCCATGGCCTAGATAGAGAAGTAACCAAAAACCTGCTCATGTGATTCGTTCTTGTCTGAACCAGAATTTCAAATGGACGGCATTTTGTGACAGCGTACAGATAATGCTCAGCAGCTGCCTGCTGTACATTTAAGTGAGCCTCACAGTACCTAGGGCAAATTTTATAAAGCTGCTTGAGCAAAGAATTTGCTAAAGCACGAAAAAACCTTGCTTAATAAATAAAGATTACCAGCTCAAACTCTATGTGGTTGTCATTCTAACCAAACAAACAGGTAAATACCATTACATCACAAGAAGTTTTGGCTGGTAACTTGATTTGTCAGGCAAGGTTTTTTCATGCTTAAAAAAGTTTTTCACTTAAGCAGCTCTGTGAAATTGGCCCCTGATTGCAAGGTGTTGGTCTCTGATCTCTGCGACAGAAATTCAAGATGAACCCGGCCACCAAGCAGATAGAGCTTGATCTCCTACGAACTCTGCCAACCAATAAGAACTTTGACAACATTGACTCCAAAGGGGTAAGCCCAGTGTCCAAACGACCTTTATCTCACATTCAGTCTGTTAATTTGGATAAGACACTCTCTCAAAACTTCACTGAATCTTTAAAATTCTGTGTAAGAATTCCGTAGCATGTTCTGTAACTGATGTTCTTCAAGGGACACCTGCCCAAACACTAGGGCCGTTGTCTAATACTCAACTTTGTCTCCGTCTCGGGCTTCGTTCCCAAAACCAATCCCCGATTGTGGGCCTGAAGTGTTTAAATTACATTGGATTACTGTAATTTTTGGCTTTCTTGCATCTTATTTATGTTTTGTGGCACTATTAGACTGATTACTGTGCTTACAGCTTCAAAGTCAGCTAGTAAAAAAAACAGTTGAAGCCTGAGATGGAGCCGAAGTTGAGTATTGGAAAACGGCCCAGGCCGTCTCTACATCCTCAATCCCACAACCTGACCCTTTTACTTCCTGATCCATTTCTCAGATCCCATCCTTAAGGCGAGTATTGAAGGCATACAGCGTACACAACCCAACGATAGGATACTGTCAGGTAAGAGCCTCCTCAAGACTGCAACAATTATGGGGAACAATGTAAATGCTTACATGTATCGATCCATGAAAACTTCAATGTGATTCTTTCTCTTCACAACCACAGCCATTTACGACAAGCTACGTCTATTCAGTTGAGCAACCCAGTTTGTAATCGTACATGTAGAGATGCACTGTAAATATTTTGGATAACTGCAAATGATGGAGTGTACCTTTAACAGTCGAGAAGCTGTAGTGGTCTCCAGCCTCTCAAGTCAACTTTTTTCTGATCTGACCATTTCTGATGAAGTTGCACTTGCTTTTAAGCCCCTTGATTGTTTTTCTTCAGGGTCTCAATCGAGTTGCTGCCATCAGTCTCTTGTTTCTGGATGAGGAAGATGCATTTTGGTAAGCTTGAAACCCGTCAAAAGAATGTTTTTGTCACGGCTCATTTGAATGGTTTGTGAACTGGCTTAAGACTCAGTGACTTGTGATGGACTGACAGGGAATTGTGATGGACTCGAATGCAGCACTGCCAGGTACATGTAACCTATGCATGGAATACATCCAGGGTACCAGGCAACATCAACAAGTGGTTAACAAATGATCACTGCTCAAACCTGGTCATGGTTTATCACTCTTCCCATCTCTCCATTCGGCCTGTCTATTCTAGGTGTCTGGTTGCCATTGTAGAGTGCATCATGCCGGCAGATTACTATAGCAAGACTCTGATCGGTTCTCAGACTGATCAGAGAGTCTTCAAGGATCTCTTAACAGAGAAATTACCTAGGCTTAGCACCCATCTGGACAACTTTGGGTGAGTATTACACCGGTATCAATTCCTGCTCTCACAAATATTAAATATGCATGCTCTTTCAGGAAGACTTACAGTGTCCCGTAATCTGTTTATAGAATTCTGCTCATCTCACACCCTTGCTTGTCATCCTCTTACAAATCCGCAAAACTTATAAACTTTACTCACAAGTTTGCCCTATTGATTTGAAAGAGAGGTCATTTTTTTCATTTGTGAATGAGAGGTCTTTTGACAGTCGAGTTGTGGGGTCTTGTGATTGTCTAAAGAGGTCTCAACCACAATGCTAGTCATCATGTGCCTCCATTGTAGTTGCTAAAGATTTCAAATTTGCTCCAAAGACAAGATTTTAGATCTCCTAAAGTTGAAGCTGTTGATGGAATGAACTCTTAATACCTCTTTTCCCCCTGTAGCATTGATCTGTCTCTCATCAGTTTCAACTGGTTTATCACGGTGTTCTGTGATAATGTTCCTCCAGAGGTAAGATTAAAAGGTAGTATTCCCTAAAGGTGACTGTTAGTTGATTGAAAGTATTGGGGCCGGGGGTTTGTTAGGTGATTGGAGGTAGTTGATTGGAGAGAGGTAGTTGATTGGAGGTTTTTAGTTGAGAAGGGGTCTATAGACAATTGGAGGTTATTTGATAATTAAAGTTATATTTTGGTATCATAAGCTGATGCTTGGGAGCTAAGTGGATGATTTAAAAGTCGTAAGTTGATTGATAGTGAAATGATTTGACATCATAGATAGATTGAAGGTCAAATGATTTGATGTCATAAGTTGATTAAAAGGTCAAATGCTTTGATGTCACAAGTACATTGAAGGTCAAGTGATTTAATTTCATATGTACATTGAAGGTCAAATAATTTGTGATGTCATAAGTAGATTGAAAGTCAAATGATTTGATGTCATGTTGATTGAAAGGTCAGATGATTTGATGTCATAAAGTTGATTACAGGTCAAATTATTTGACGTCATAAAGTTGATTGCAGGTCAAATTATTTGATGTAATAAGTTGACTAGTTGAAGGGAGGTGACTAGTTGAGGGAGGTGGTAAGTTGAGGAAGGTGGTTAGTTGAGGGAGATGGTTAGTTGAGGGAGGTGGTTAGTTGAGGGAGGTGGTTAGTTGAGGGAGGTGGTTAGTTGAGGGAGGTGGTTAGCTGAGGGAGATGGTTAGTTGAGGGAGGTGATTAGCTGAGGGAGATGGTTAGTTAAGGGAGGTGATTAGCTGAGGGAGATGGTTAGTTGAGGGAGACTGTTTGTTGAGGAGGTGGTTAGTTGAGGGAGATGGTTAGTTGAGGAGGTGGTTAGTTGATACATGTAAACAAGCTGATAACATCTTTGGTCCAATAGAGGGTAACTGGTTGATCATCAGAGGTTGGTGTTCAGCTTATCAACTTATTAATTGGTTAGGGCTGAAGATCACACCTCATTCAGATAATAATGTTTGTGGTATCTGCATCACCCTTTTGTATAAAAAGGAGCGTAGCTACAAATCACACTAGATGCCGGCCTTATTTTCAACATATTTTTGTCTCAGTGATCCTCAACGTGATTGGTATACGTGTCTTCTTATTGTCAATGAGGTCAGATGAGTAAGACCTGAAGCTTTGCATGGTGGAGAAAGACTAAAGAGTGAGCTTGCGGTAACATCGTGTGGATAGATCTCTTTTGGAAGAGGTATATATACATGTAGAGAGCACTGGTATGTAAGGGCTGTGTTGGGATTACCAGCGCTCCACCTTGAGTCCGGCACTTCACTCCTGAGGACACCCATAGCACACTGGTCAAAACGTTGAGTGCACACTCGCTGGTTCTTATTAGAACCATAACTCTTCCAAAAGCGATCTATCCATATGTTGTTACTGCAAGCCCTCTCCTAAGTAAGATGACAAGGTATACACCTAGACTCGTAATTTATTTTCAGACCATGCTGCGAATCTGGGGCACCCTCCTCTATGAAGGCAACAAGGTCCTCTTCCGTTTCGCCCTGGCATTTTTCAAGATGAGTGAGGCTCAGCTCCTGGTACTGCATGATTACATCCACATCTTCAACTATCTCAGGAAAATGACATCCAAGATGACAGACATCTCCCGACTAACCCAGGTCAGTGATGCTGTATCACATGTATCTCATAGGGAAGGAGGACAGGTGCTAGACTTTGTTAAACTGTTTATTTTTATTTTCAAATGAATATGTCCTGCTCGGACAAAATAAAGAACAAGTCTTCAGGATCAGTACTTTCAGGATTCTTCTTAATGTACATAGCAACAAATCTCTTCAAAAGTAAGTGAAAACTTTGTCTCGCAAGTTTACTTTCCCAAACCAAGGTATCTTTGCCAACATTAGTGTAGAATATCTCCACTAGTTGTGTTTTAAAGCTCAAAGGGATGATCAAAATTGTTTATAATTCCAAGACTAACATAGCGCACTTTAAAACAAGAACAAGCTCGTAGAATCTGGCCAAGGTATCATTTATCTGGCAAAACTGTTTTCAATTCAAACCACCCCCAGTCAAAGAAACCTGACTTTGAACTGTTGGTGACGAGGAGGATTTTACTTTGCTTGATAGATTGCCTTTGATGAGTTAAGCCATTTTCCCCGAAGGCACATCAACAACAGGAGAGCTGTCCACCGAGCTCAGATCAAGGTACGTTAACCAAAACTTAGTCGGTATCTAAAACAGGTAGGTTAACCCTTTTGGTTTAAGAAACCAAAGTTTGTTGGTTTGTTAACCGTTATTCTGTTAATCTTTTGGTTAATCTTTGGTTAACCAAAACTTCATCACCAGTATCCAGAATTTGTAGTTTGGTGTACGATTCGCTTGTGTTTGTGCTCTGATGAGTGTTTCTGTGAAACATATTTAGTATACGAAACATGATGGAGATATTGGGAAGCAAAAGATTTGAATATCCAGATAATGTCATAATTTATAATGCCTTTGAGAAAGTTTCTGCTAGGATCAAAACCTCGGGCCCCCCATACTTTGTAATTTATTTGCTACAAAAACAGTTTTTGAGAGAAACACTGATGAATACGTGTTTAGAACAGTTTAAAATCAGACATGAGATTTCTTTAGCCTTTCATTGCTTAAGTGTATGTTGAAGCAAACTGTGAAGTTCCAGATCATTTGAAGATGTCATGTACGGCAGATAATGATATGAAAATGTAAATATGAAATGATGTTTGCTAACTGAAACAGCAACAACTTGAAGAGCTGGACAAGATGAGAGACGAGTATGTTCCTCAACACCGGCCGTCAACAGAGGGCGTAATCAGTGACGACGACGAGGACTATGACACAGTGGAGGCTCTAGGGGGGAATTCCAAGTCATAAGATTACCAAATATGTGTAAGCCATCATCCAAGGTCATTGTAATAGTACAGTAGTCGACAAAGGACATAATCAACCAAGTATGAAGTGGATCTTGTAAACGCACCTCTGGATAGTGGGGTAGCTAGGATTTTACCAGGATGCACAAGGGGGGAACCAGTATCTTATGGGGGGGCACCAACTTTGAGTGGTGTGGTTTTTGGGGACAAGCTTTTGTTAGCCTTATTCAGTATCCATTTATACATTTATCTCGCTTTTTTTAAGTTGGGGGAGGGGCGGGAACCGAGCCTCCCGTGGCTACGCCCCTGCCTCTGCAGAGACATGAGAGAATGAATAGTTCCTTGATAACTGACGGGAATCCAGAAATTAAATAAAAACTGTTTTTTTGGATAATGAATTCTTATAATGCCTCCCACCTTCAGCTCAGACAATGAACTGTCCATTCTTTTGGGCCGGTCTCAAAAAATTGTTTCAGACAAACCAAGCACATATCTTTGAAGCTTTTTGCAGTGAAGGTGGCAAGTTAAGCAAAAGGTCTACAGTAGGACCATGCAAACATATCTCTTTGTGAGTACGTGCACGTGTGGTCCTATCACCGTCTATTATCAGAGCTACGCATACTCACAATAGAGATATTTATTCCCTCATTGTAATATATATTTTTTCTAAAGTACTATTTTCCTTATATTATGGGAATTATGGGTTAATCTAGATGCTTAGAAATACACGCCATTTTCGTATAAATCCTAACATCATTGTCAGTGTCATAGTAAAACAAGACTCCAGAGAGTTAAACAAAAGTAGACAGTACGGCAAAAAATTGTCAAATGTATGATCTGTTTCTGGAGAAGTCACCAATGACAGAAGCCAGTAACACATTGTAGTATGGTTTATAACTTCACCATTTTTGCGATAGCGTTTTTTTTTTTGCTAGATGTAATGCACAAAATATGAACAAAGCTCTGGAAAGAATGTGTACATTTTCAGCCGTCAAGGAAAGTGGATTAACCTGTGGTAGAGAAATCCAGTATTGAGGATCAGAAACTGTTCCCATCTATTTCTGGAATTTTTCAGTTGCTGCTGGAGTGGAGTTTACCGCAGCTTGCATTGATGTCGTAAGTTGGATGACTGCATACGAGGGCCGATTCATAAAGCAGCCGTTAACATTTAAATGACATTGCACATTGTAATTAAATTACATAGATTTCAGTTACTGTAAAATAAATCGTTACAATGGTGAAAGACTTTTTTTGTGTACACCAATTACTTGTCCAAAAACTGTGCTATTTATTTTTTTTAGATATTCACAACAATGGCTGACTTGCAGTAACTACTCTTGAAATTATGCCTGTTTCAGTATTGAATATATTTGTTTGATCACCACGGTTATTTTGAATAACTTAGTAACAGTTTTCTAGTCAAGACCGACACAAGACCATGCACAAGTAACAGGGTGAACAGTGACAAAGGAATTGAATAGCACATGACTTGAATTCAGATTGGAGGTCTTGTGTTTGTCTTGTGAAGGTCTTATGGTCTCAACTACAACACTGCTTAGTAAAACAGTTTTACTTTGTAATTAGGGAAGCGATTTTGAGTTTTGACTTTGAGCCACATAAACCCTGTATATCCTGGGAGGGTATAGAGTCTGCATGGCTGCCATCTTGCAGGCCTTTGCTTTGTTCCACAGAGTATGCACAAAGGCAGTTTCCCTGTGGAACCAAAGAACTGCCCTGCAAGATGGCTACCATGCAAAGCCTCAATATGTGTGCCTTTCACCGTTAAGCTCATATGAGTCCGTATATTTCAAATCCAATGGTACCCAAGCTTTTGAAGGGTAGACGGAAAAGGATGCCACGTAGAAGGACGTGCTCGGCGCACATAAAATACGTACTGTACACCTTTGGAGCAAAATATGCATATGATACACGTCGGTCTACGTGGCCTCCTTTTCCGTCTACCCAGCTGACGTAATCCCACCAGAGTGACCCGACTACAGAAAGCAATTACTCGTGGCAAACACTACCAAGTGGATGATGTCTATTCCCGCAGTGGTAAACACAGACTTCAAGATCTGAATTCGTTACCACTTGTTCCACAAACCGACAATGAATCTTGTTTGTGAATAGAGGGTTTGCATGGCAGCCACCTTGCAGGTCAGTGCTTTTGTTCTACGGGTTATGCACCATGGGAGGTTTCCCTGTGGAACAAAAGAATTGCCCTGCAAGATGGCTTCCACACAAAGCCTCTATAAAACTGACACAGGCATTAAGTTGCACACGATGGTAGATGCCAGTCCATACTGTTCCGGTGAGGTGTTTTTTAAAATAGGGAGTTTGTTGTATTTCTTAATGTGACTAAGTTTAAGGTTAAAGTACTATGCAAAATAACGCACTAAGTTACCATGAAGACTTTCCTTCCAGCTAATCTAGTTTTTTGTAGCATGTTGAAACTATGAAATGGATGTTAGTCTTGCCTTTATTATTTTAATATGTCACAAATGCAAAACATGCATTGATATATAATGCACCACATTTGATGTGATCTAACTTCATTGTCATGATTGTGTACATGAACTTGATCCTACTTACAATGGACAACAGTATTTGAAATAAAACTGCTTACATGTACATGAGATAAAACTGAAGTGCTTTGGTGATCTTGTAATGATTCAAGCACTAGACTATGGACTTGACACTGCAGTCTTAAGCTTCAAGAACGTCTAATCATGGAGGTAGAATTGTGGTCTAATTAAGCTCATGAACCGCTGCCCGGGTGGATTCGGAGGTCATCAGGATATCGACCAAAGGCAAGTGAAGGGTACACGCGCACGCGCCGCAGCATGCAGGCGGTGTTAAGGCCATGGGCCAAAGGCATGTTTACTTTTAGTGGCTATGGCTTCCACGTGGACATGTGTTTTCTTCTATCATTTTGAAAAGACGTAGCCATAAATCCTTTTTAAGCCTGAGATAGTCTAGTACCACGTACCCACCCATGATTTTGTTGCATCAAAGTAGGAGGGAGCCATGCATTCAAACACATGCAGTCCGTCCAGCTGGCTGAATGGAGAACGGAACATAATCCATATTCATCTGAGAAATAAATCACTCAAAACAAGTTTTCCTTTTTTTAGAATTTAAGAATCGACCAACTTTCATCAACGAAGCGGTCAGCAGTTTACATGCTACTGAAATGTCAAGAAAGGTTACATGTTTGCTTCAACCATGGCTTCAACTATTTATCGCCGTGTGTGTTTTTCCACCGTGTGGAAGTGCCACGTCTACGGGGCCACGCGGCAGTTTGACTGGCATGACGACCGCAGCCCCACTACCAACCCCGGAGTTTTTTCTGGATGGAATCATCGATAAATTCGGGCAGAATGGGCGACTGAACGAGCAACAATTACTTCATCTTTTACAAAGAGTGCCTGTGGAGGTTTGTTGCTGTGATTGCAAATTAGTTGAATGGCCCTTATGGCCTTGATGATTGATGAATTAATTGATTGATGGCCCGTCATTGCCCGTTTTTCGTGTAAAGAACCAGTTACACTTACAGATAGCAAGTCTATGTACAAACTTTTTTTATTTTATTCTCTAGAAACTGATTTGTTGGAAAAAAAAATCAAGCTGATGGTAAAAACAATTCTAGTACATACCTTGGAGCTTGGTAGGCATTTGAGAAAAATCTGATGATACCCAATACAAAGATTGGCATCAGCAGTCTATAGAGGGTTTGCATGGCTGCCATCTTGCAGGCCAGTGCTTTTGTTCCATGGGGTTTTGCACAAAGGATGTTGCCCTGTGGAACAACAGAACTGCCCAGCAACATGGCTACCATGCAAACCCCTTATAATGCTCGTTTTCTTGTGTCCTTGAATGCGTAGTGTTTGTCGGTAGACGATCTACTCCGCATACACTCGCTGACTGAAGAGGAATTAATGAATGACACGGCCGGGGTGTTGCAAGCTGTGTGCCCATCAATACTCTTCCAAGCTGTCTCTGATGATTGCTCTGATCTGGACAAAGATTCAGGAGAACGCAAACCACCAACTACTGCGCAAGGTACATGGTATTCCAAAGCACAAGCAGCGTTTGTATGGTCTTAGTAACTTCTCTTAGGACACTGTCCAATATTCAACTTCATTTCAATCTTGAATCCCAAAACCATTTCGGAATTCTTTACAAATTACAAAGACAGGTGGAACAGAGTGTGCTTCATGTCCAGAGAGCTAAAGGGTTCTGTCTATCCCCTCCTCCACCCCCAGATCTACCACGCCCCCACCAAAAAAAATGAAAATTGTACTCACAACAACGATCAACTTGTTCATGTTATGTCTCTTTGCTGATCCTCTTGCAGTGTGGGGCTACGGTGTCCTCTTCGTGACAATCATTAACTTGGCTGCCTTGATGGGGGCTTGCATCATACCCTGTATGGACAAAAAGATCTACAAGTTGATTTTGACTTACCTGGTTGGATTGGCAGTGGGCACACTGAGTGGAAACGCATTACTTAGCCTGATACCTGAGGTAGGGGACTATTCCTTTTATCTTCAAGCCCCAAGCTGTAAATTATGTTTTTCCAAGAGACCATCCTGTGAAAAGTGTTTTGCTCCACTGAAAGCATCTGGGAGGGTTTCTGGCCAACATAACGTGGAGCGTTTGAGTTACCACCAATTTCATGTATTCGTGGCCTCCCTTCCTGTAGACCCACGGCATGTACGTCAGCACCCATGGTCTTGGTTTTGTCTGGAGGAACACCACCATCATCGGGGGTATCTACCTATTCTTTGTCGTGGAGCGGCTCCTCAAACTTATCTCATCGCGCAAAGAAGACAAAAGAAAGGTGAAAGAGAAGACATTTCACATATTGTGAGTGGCTGTCTTGATCAACACATGTCCATCAAATGTCGGCCAAGCTCATGCCACATCCAAAACGGGTTTCCAGTGGAGTGAAGACCTGGACGTAGCTCCTGACAAGAGATTGGGATGCAACCTCAATCTCTCCGCACATTACCAGCCACTCAAAAGGAAAGACATGTTTTTGTCAGCGTTTGACCCCAATTACTTGCACTATGACTTAGAATGAGAGTTAGAATTGGAAAACAAATCAAAACCTTTGGAAAAACCAATTACCATTGCCTCTGCCAGAAAGTTTCATGATATGAATAGTGATAAATTTATTGTTCGTACAAAGGAACCATACAGAAAAGAATCACACCTTGCAGAGTTAAAGATGAAGTTACCAAAGAACATGATTCACCTCCATCAGGGACCTAAAGGAGCCCAGTGGTACTCTTAATGTTGGGTGGGGCTTTGTTCCAATGTTGGAGGGGGGAGTGAATTGAAAGGCCTGGTCATCTAAGATAGAGTCATTATACCACGAGTAACTGAGTGTCATTTATGAAATTGCTTTTAATCCAGAAAAAAAATTTGTCCGGGTCAGACCTGAAAGTTTCAACCATGCACAACATGAGCGAGGATCGTGACGTATACAAGATAACATTAGCAGACTGTGCGCTACGTAACGGCTTTGCCAATGCCAGGGATAGCTCAGCAGAGGTCAGAGAGGAGGTAAGTCAATTTGTATCACTGTGATATTGTCTTGGTCTAAAACTCACAGATCGTTCAAAATCTGAGTGGAAGTTTTCAAGATCTTGAAAAATTGTTCCGAGAAAGATTTATGAACTGTACGGCGTACGTATGTATATTGTACATTCTTATATGATACCTGACTGTCGTTCAGAATTTAGCCATTACAAATTATGTCCATAAATTAGACATAACCATATTACATTGTCAAAAAAATTTAAGCAAAATTAATATTTTTGATGAATAAATGTTTGAATACATTACATTCTCATTCAAAAGGAGCAGTTTTTACAAGTAAATAAAAACTCAGGATTCAGACGATTAGGGAATGTTCCAAACGATGAGCAGAGCATGCAGGTAAATCTGGTTGGTGTGGGACATGGTACACATGTAATTCAGTCTGAGACTAACTCATTGCTTGCTTGATTAACCAGCCTGGCTTGTTGGCCTTTCTTCCTTCAATTGTCTCATCATTCCTTTCCTGTCCATCTCACCACTCCTCAAGCGTTGCATGGAAATCCAGCTTTAGAAACTCAGGGCATATCACATCATGGAGATTGACCTTTCTCTATCGAACAAAATAGTGAGCAACACTGGATTTGAACACTGGCCTTGCGAGTTACCAGACGAGTGGTCAACACTGATCTTTATCCAGTGCTACCCTGGGTCGTTTTTCCTAGGACTAATTTGCCTTGGTTGGTGCCACACTAACCTGTGCTTATTAAGGCTGATTTGGAGCACATGTACTTTTGAACCAGTCACAAACCTGGGCCTCTTTTTGTGAGCACCAGGTGCATGGCAGCAGTGACATTTATGCCTTGGGGGAGGGGTGCAGATGACTGATGGACGACAGCTTGTTGTATACATGTGCTCGTGTGGTGCTTCATAAGTCACAGCATGAGATTCCTCATGTATTTGATACCAATTTGACAGTGTACAGGTTCTTATAGCTTTAACCGTGTTTACGTGTTTTCATCAGCTACATAGACAGCCCTGCTTGTTTCACACTGACCTGATCTTGATCAGTGAACCAAACCCCATTTTGCACTATCCATTAAGTGGTTTCTGGTATCAGTGATTGATATCCAGATGCATGTGAAACAAACAGGTGCAAAGCACTAGAGCTTAGCTTGAGTATGAGCATGTCATGGGTGTGTGGTAACATACTGAAGGAGACCATTTTTGTTGACTTGGTTCAGTGCGCTTTAAACTGTTTTGAATATGTTCAGAATGATGTTTGCCATTAGATGTTCAAAACGTGTATGTGCAGTGTGACATTGAGCGTACTTCAATTGTTTTTCAGACTTTTTTCATATTTGGGCCAAACAAAAAGTTGTTGTGTTTCCTATTACACTGAAAAAATAAATTAGGGTGGTTGGTTGGGTAAAATATTTTTTTCTCTCTAAATTTGTTTGCCAAACAAATTAGGGTCCGATGACGGTCTGTATTTTTGGGGGGGGGGTCATGTACATGTATATTTGGAACAGGTACTAAGTCAGTGTCAGATTCATACTGTACATGTGCATGTCAGTATTACATATCAGCTCTGTGATTGAGTAGTAAAGCAGCTGGTTGTTGAAATACAAGCACACAAGAGCCGTCCGTCTCATGCTAAAAAAAAATTAAACAATACAATGTACAGGACAATGTACACAAAATTAGGCTCAAAATAAGGCACCATACATGGAAGTTTTTATATTTTATTAATTTGTCAAATAAAGAGATATAGGTTCTGCGTGATTTTCTAGGTTGGCTAACTGGAGACACACCTTTATTTTGTTTGGCCTTAACCCTAACCCTCCTCAATCCTTCTCCTGTTGGAGGACTGAGGACTGTTAGGGTTAAGATTTCCTCCATTGTCATTCTTTACTGTAGATATTTTACGTTTGGAGGTCTGCACTTTAAACTTTTCCCTATTTTGCTTCAAGCCTTTGGGTTCAAATGTCATTTACCCCAGTATTACTAGAATATCATCCAAACTATTGTAAAACATCTATGTAAACATACAGATAAAGAGTGCCCTTGTGGGTCCTATGTCCAAGGGACAATTTCTTTTGTTACGAAATCTAGGACAGAGATTAGTCCACCAAATAATCATTGTGGAACATGTGCGTAATCTTCTTGAGGGCTAATACAAGTACAGGTGTATGACATTTGCAAAGTGTATTTGTTTCTGATTAACCATACACCTAATCTATTAGTTTTCATTCACCTTGTGTCTGTTTTTTAACACACTGTCTCACAGAATCAGTTTGGTAAAGCTCACTGCATCCAGTTTTTTTTCCTTTGACAATTGCTGCATTGAGAAGCTGAAGCCAGAAGTGTAAAAAATAAGACGTCCTAATGACTGCTTGGTATTTGCACATGCATGCACCTAGAGCTAGCTGACGTGTGTGGGTCAATCTATAAATTTGGGGTCCATTTTTTTATGCACCTGTTACATTGGACATATGATGTTGTACCAGGTTGAGCACAGTCTTTGGTTCCAAGAGTGTTAAATTACCTGCCAAACAAATTGAAAGAGTTTGAGTCAATTTCAGTGATATTTTCATGTCTAATTACACAGGTCAGGTGTAACAGGGACACAGAAATGCCACCCTTATTGACCTTGAATTTATAGCATGACCATATAGAAAAAAAGGCATTGAGCGTGACATTTTAATCCTTTGTAGCCATTATGGTCTGTTTAAGGATCGTGAAAAAAACCTCTTTTATTCTCTCTCTGAGCGGATACCGTTACCAGGGACTTCACCAAAACTAAACAGCGCCCTCTTATTCTATCCATCATGCATGTACACATGTACCAGTACTTCAAGCTGGCTAATTGCAAGCTTTTGACCAAAGCATTTTTCATTTGTTGCCCCGTACATTTTATGAATAATTGCAGGATCAGTCAAAAGCTGAGACCGCAAACGGTCATGGCCATTCACACCTGGCCATGACAGAAAACGGCAAAGTTCGCATAGCGGCAGTTGCCTACATGATTGTATTCGGCGATGGCCTGCATAACTTCATCGACGGTCTGGCCATAGGGGCATCGTTTTCAATCTCTGTATTCCAAGGGATATCAACCTCTATCGCCGTGATCTGCGAAGAGTTCCCTCATGAACTTGGTGAGCACCCCCCCTCTTTCCCCTATTTTGGTTTTGTCCCTGCTAGTTCACTGCATGGGTTTTTGTAGAGTTTCACCGTTGGTATACTTCAACACCAGGTTTATTAAATCGAGCAGAAGTATTTAAAAATAATGAACTTTTGACCAAGAGGGAAAATGTTCAAGGCATGGATTTGTCCAGTTTCCAGCACAGTTTTATTTTATGCATTGACATGTATAAGTACATTTCTAGTCCATGACACCTGTAACCTTTTGAACCAACGAATCTGAAACTAGTGGTGATGAGATTTGTCATGAAGTTTCCTGATTTCAGGATTTTGTTTTCGCGAAATTCAAATGTCAGGATTTTTCTGTCATTATTTTCCTGATTTTTTTTAATTTTTCAAACGGTCATATTTAAAATCTGGCAAATCTAACTTTACCATTGTGGTGTGTTTATATATATAACAGGTGGTGTAGATTACCGTTATATGGGTTTTAAAATGGTGCCTTCAGGCAAATATGAATCCATTCAACAGACCCTACACTGCTTGCTGTAGGGCCCACAACCTCAAGTGATTGCTATGGATATTTCTCCGATTGCAACCCTGTATAACTTTGCAACGCATCACTGAACATTTAATGGAACCCTGCATAGTGCACAGAAAATCTTTACCGGGTTAAAATGGACAATTCAAATCTGAAAAGTGCTGTCGCATAAATCAGGCAGAATTCTGATTCATGTTGGTCTAAACCTGCACCTGGCATTTCCTTTGTGTGGATTTCCTTTTTCTAGGAGACTTTGCTATTTTGCTGAAATCGGGCATGACAGTCAGGCAGGCGTTACTCTTCAACCTGCTCTCAGCGCTCACCTGTTACGGGGGTCTCATTGTGGGTATCCTGGTGGGGCAGCTGACGTCAATGGAGCCTTACATTTTTGCACTGGCAGGGGGAATGTTTTTGTACATCTCTTTAGTCGACATGGTAGGTGGAAAGAGATCTATGGGAAGGCTTTACCTTCTGAAAAAACAAACTGAAAAAACAAACCGAACAATTAGAGATTGGAACCCTCAGACCTTGGCTCAATGTATCAGCACTCAAGCATAGGCAACTTTTATCATAACAAGGTCACAGAAACCTGCCAAAATACCAAAGCACCATAACCGTGCTGCGAATGGACTGAAAAAACAAACTAAACAATTTGAGATTGGAAACCCTCAGAATTTGGCTCAATGTATCAGTTACAAAAACTGCTCTGTCTATCCAGAGTTCACCATATTGGTTAGCCTAGCAGATATCATGTAGGTTTGTCTTCTTGTGGATGAATCATTACAGTGGAGTGAGCGCTAAATGTCCTCTAACAAATCTTTTTTTTTTTGGTTTTTGACCACCAGTTGCCAGAACTACACACTGTGAACCAACACAAAGAGTTCCGGATGTCCACCTCCTTAAAGATCTTCGCTATTCAAAATGCCGGCCTCTTGACCGGCTATGCTGTTATGATTCTGCTGGCCGTATATGGAGAGCACATCACACTGGTCACCGGTTGAGTGCAAGACTTGGGGAGACCTGGATGTAGATTGTTGAAATCTACAGGGAATAGGGGTGAGCACATTAAATGCAGGTAACATACTTTTTAAAACCTCACATCATTATATTTACATGTCTTATACTACCACTATCAGTGCCTTCACTACATATTTTAGTAGCCTTCAAATTCACTGGTCACCACTGGTTTAACTGTGGACACTTGTGACGGTTAATGGTGGGTAGTTACCCACAATGCATTGCATTTCCATCACAATACTGTATTTGAAGAGATAAGTCACCTTTAAGCCTAATGCCCTTTGATTGAATGATGGGTACCGTTGAGCAGCCAACATGCATACATGTAGAAGCCAATTCAAACATGAACTATGGTTCATGAGTTAACAATAACCAACTGTGTGTGTGTGTTTGATTGTTGGCCTGCTGTAGATTACCAGTTGAACCCTAAACCCTGGCATATCAACGTCTGGCTAGGGCACTTCCATTGTTACTCATAAAGAGAAAAATAAAGTTGTGTATGCTTAATGCCACTGCACTGTATGGTACCTTGTCTTATCTATTGTATTTTATGGCTTCAGAGATCAATAAGGTCACGTCCGCTTACAAGCGACAGGGCTGTATTCTACATTTGACTACTGTGTAGTAATTTTTAGTGTTATGTAGTCTTAGGGCTACTTAGGGGAGTTTGCGTCAACGGTTTATCAACCGGCACAGGGGCAAGCATCTCAGAAATAAGAGCAAGTATAACTACGAGTGTTAACAAGGAGTGGTTTGAGTGTGTAACTTTGTCCATTGGTATAGAGAGTTTGACTCACTCAGTGTTTACGTGTGAACTTCCACAGTGTGTAGCGTGCCAGTTTTATTTAATATATTTCCAATATTACCTCATTAATAAACATGAGTTTGCATTATCGGCAAATTGGAATCCAATACAAGCGGTCTATAGGTTTTAGGATCACACAATGACAGTAGACAGGATTAATGGTAGCTCAAGCAATACAGCGATCTATTCAGATGTGCAATATGCAAATAAACCACATCACTGAAAGCTCGTAACTACTAAATGGTGCAATTTGGAAATCACCGAGGAGTTCAAATAGGTGGGAATTTTATTCGAGGTGAGATTCAACAGTAATTGTCTTTGTGTGTGTTTTTATTTTGTTTGTTTTTTCTTTGCTTTTTACATGTAATCATTTCATGGGCATAGATCCAAGTTTTTAGAGGGTTAGAGGTTTTGGTATAGACCTCTTTCACCCACAGGACTTGATTGAGGGAGATGTTTTCTAGGCGAGGCCTCAAGAAATACTCCTCTTGTCCCAAATCGTATGTGATAACCAAAATGCAAGAGTCCAGCATTTTTCGTTTTTTTCTTTCTTAGCATCTTCAGTCATTTTATTAAACACTTGCATGCGTGTATACATGTATGTGCCTTAAGGGTTGTAATGTGAGAATGCTTATTGGTCACATCATGTAAAGCACCTCATTAAATAGTTTAGCTGTGTACTCTAAAAGCATTGTTTAATTTTTTTTTATTCTTTTGCCAAATGGCCTAATATGTGTCTAGAACCAGCCAGTTCCATATTCCAACAGAGCAAACACCGAACTGGTTCACTCTGTCAGGCCATAAGTTGTTCTGAATTATTCAGCCATATTTAATTTATTTGTTTCTATTTACCTTACCTTACTTTACTTTACTTGTGTCTATTTACTTCCTTGTCTTTTTAGTTAGCAAGTTAGTTCTCAAAGTGAAGGGCATTTATTCTGAGCACTGCCTCGTCATTTTCACATAAAGCTATGCGTGTATTCTTCGTCACTTTAAGCAATTCAAACCACGTGTGCTGCATGGTGCAATCCTGGTACAATCCCACCCATTAGCCATTCTCCATCGTCGAAAATCTCCAAAATGTCGGAATTATTTTATAATATAAAATGGGACTTTGGGTCGGGAGATATTGATTTTTTTCCACGTTAATTTCCCTTCACCGAAGAGCATTGTGTCTTATTAAATGTTTACATGCCCTGCACCCACCGCTTATCTGACTCAAATCGGCTAGCCGACCCCCAGTGAGCTCGTGATTGATTGACATTTGCGAGAGTAAGTAGCCAGTGTAATTTTGGGGCAAGCCGGTGTCGACACAAAGCGCACATTATCATCATATTCGTCGGCAGAGGGTGAGAAACACTCTTCATAAAAGTCGGTGTTTCGTTCACGTAGTTAGGTCTTTTGAAAACAACTGAAATATTTCCAGTGTATAATTTACAGGTTTATGGGTTAGAATCGGGAAAAAACAATCAACAGCAGGTTTTGCCGAAAATGGGGCGCCTGGTACGTGTAAAAGGAATCAGACGCAGCAGGGAACCCTTTTAGAAATAATTGCACCTATTTTTGCTCGTGTGTGTGTGTGTTTCCTGTGTGTTGCGCACACTGCATAGGTGTTCCTGTACAACTCCTATGTCAGGTCATTTTGTATTTGGAAATCACCAAATAAGTATCAGATGCAATGCTCAATAGCTGATATGAGATCGGTCATGAATTATGCATCTTTCCCTAAAAATCATGAAACGAACCACCGCAAATCTATGACGAATGGAGAAGACGTGTACATGTAACTGCAAGCCCAGATGCTCAGGTTTGCTTAAATACTTTATGCAATTTAGTAGAATTCGTTCAGAAGAGGTGCCAAATTCTTATGAGCTGTCCCTTCTTCTAGTTTTAAGAGATATGAAAGGGCTCCAAATTACCTCTCCTAGTGGTTCATCACGTATATGAAATCGCCAGTACACCGGAATTCTTATTTTGAATTTATGTTGAAAAAATCCCTAACTTTTTTTTTAGTTGATTTTGAATTTTGTATACACTTTTGTGATTTTATACATTTGAATGGACATAAAAGTAAAGTTCTGGTTTTAACTGAAAGTTTTAAGTGGTAAAAGTTACGTCTAAATCACGATCAAGGCAGATTTCTCAGTTTTGGCAACGGGAATAATTTTTCGATTTAATTGCGGCCGACACAGTTTTATAATCGAAGCAGAATACACCCAAAGCAATGTCGGAAAAGTACCAAACAAACCTCAGTAATATGTAAGTAGAATAAAATAATGAATTAAAAATTCACTGAAGATAAGACGCGGCGTGCACGCGCACAGTACAATCAAGCGCTTATTGCGGAGGATTTATACGGTTTGCAATTTACACGTCTAATTTTTTGTGTAAAATTTTCTACACTTGCGTGTAGTCATTGCTATATTTTTTATATAGGTCTCACTTGTTACTGTAGTTTCGTGCAGTTCCGATATGATATGAGAGACAAGTTCAACATTCGTGTACCGTTTCCTCGTCAGACGTAAATTTCACAATTCACACAGCAATCAAAATTTGACATACCTACATGTGTATTTAAACGTATATTGTTATTTGTTTATTTGTACAACATTTTAGATAAACCAAAATAAGTGACCATTGGACAAAGATGATTTATACTGATCATTTGTATTAAGTGAAACATTTCATTTATATAGTTCATTTCTCCAAATAGTGATTGTTTCAAGAACACGACATTGTTTTTATGCTGCTATGCAATTGTAGCATTCCTCGTGGGGTCTTTTTTGCATCGGTGCATAGTTTACCTGCGTTTGTGTGCGCATCAAGTATAACCTACTCGACCTGACAAAACGACTCACAAGTCACCGATGCGTATGCGCATTTGAATTCAGCCATGCATCATGTAGGGTATTGTTCATTTGTCATCAATAGTAGCATTGTGTATTGATGTTCTGTTTAGTGTACACTGTTTTCTTTTTTCCCTCCAATTTGGAAGCCGAGTTGTTGCCTTTACCAGAGTGTTTACAATCCCAATAGAATTAAAACAGACTTCAGGAAGCCATCTGATGTTGTCTTTTCAAATTATTTAAATGCAGTTCTGGTAGATGTGTCTCTATGTCTCATTGAACCTGATTTTCAATTTTGTTAAGGTATTTTGGTGCCTTTTCCGTGTTTTATGGTACTGCAAACTTGCGTATATTTTTGAGCAAAAGTATGATGTCATCTAAGGCACAAACTTCCATGTTACAGCTCTTGCTGCTAAAGATATAGCCTATTTTCCTATTTTTTTACTCCTGCTATTCATTTAGTTCATTTCGTTGATTAACCGTTGTTTCTATTTGTGACATTGACGAAAGAGCAAAGGTGTATCACAAATATTTGCGGTTAGGAGAAGAATGGAGTCTTCCTGCAATGACCTTACTGCAACGGCGCCCTCATTTCTCAGTCAAAGCATGGAAAATTTGCAACATCGCCAGTTAACGTCGGGTTTTGTTAACGCCAGAGAAAGCTGCAGGGGCAGGTTTTTTTATCGCAAATTCTTCGAAATTTTAATTTATTTATGACGCAAACAAGCACGCGTGCATTAATGCAGCAACAGCGGAAATGAAACAATGCGTCCTCCGTGGAACAAATAAACAATATTGTGTGTGTTGACACGTCACCCGGCGTCAAGTGATTATAAAGGCGCAACCGAGAGTGACCCAAAATTGAAGTGAGACGATTCACGTCACGAGGAATGAAAAGTTGTATATAAGAGATTCTCAAGTGAAATTCAAATCACGGACCAAGACTGTATTATCCTGGTCCTTCATAATACCCAAGTTATTTTGTCACCCTTCTGAACCTTTTTTTTTTCAAACTTTGAATGTCAACCTGAAAAGATGCCTGGTGACGCACATGCCAAACAAATCGACCTAATCCAAGCCTTTGTGCTTGGCTGCTGTAAAAGCACCCAGTAAATATGCCACGCCTCGCTGACGCTGAAAAGAGTTTTCAACAATAAGTTTCCAAGCAAAGACTGTTTTTGTAGTTGTTACAGCGCAACCAGTGCATGAATTGAATGTTGTGTTTTTCCGATTATGTTTTACTGTGTTCCGTTGATTGTTTTTATTGAGTATATATCAATCTACCCCGAAGGTAATGGAATCGTCCAAAAGTTTTAGCCAATCAATTGTTCGTCATTCCCGCGTAGACGAAACTCTGCCATTCAGAGAAGGCGTTCGCGAGGTGGGAAAACGCCTTCCCGTCTTACGCAACGGTATTTTGTTCAGGCCGTGGTAATTGTCAGAACGCCCATCGGATTATTGTGAATCAAATCACGCCAGTCGATGAAGAATGGTCGCATTGTACAATTAGTCACAATTAGAATCTTTGGGTGCATGTTGGAGTTTTTTATGTGAGAGAAAGATAGAGAGTCAGAAGTCATTTTTGACTTGCTCGAGAAAGACAGAGGTTTGAAGAGTGACTGTGTGATGCAAGACCGGTTTTGACTCCCTAGTATCAGAAATCTGAGCCAGCAGATTTAGCTTTGTTTTGGATCTGTTGACCACTTTGGTAAAGGACGGAAAAATCTGTTTCCGTGAGAATTAGGCAAACTAGGGCCTAATTCCAGCCAGCACCAGCAAACTAGGGCCTAATTCCAGTCGGCATAAACGACTTCATGGCAACAGTTCACCTCCCAAGACAGTTGTTCAGCAAATTACCGTAAGTGTTGTAATAATGATGATTTTCTTTCTTTTATACGTCGAAGTAAAAGCCTGCAGATGATGAAGTTTCGTCGTAATTGTAGTAGTAAGCTGATTCTGGAGATCGAGGCTGATGATTTTCGAGAAGATTGGAAATTTACATTTATGAAAATAAGGACAATGATATAAGATTTGTGGTAATTTGGAATTGTGGAGATCGAGGTTGGAAAGGAAACAAATTGGAGCATGATTTCGCTGGTTCTTTAAAACGGTTAAGGTTTTGGGTTTATATTTATTGTAGATGGCCTTATGTTGAGACCGGTCCCACCGACTCCACCGATGACTGAGAAGAGTCCCTTTTGTACCGCTAAGGAGCACAGACTCTGAACCCATTTGAAATATATGTACATATCAATGTTTAATAATGCCCCCCCCCTGACATTTCAGACAACGTGAGGCTTAGGCCTACGTGTATACGTGTACATGTAGTTTGTATATGTTTTTTAAACCTTATCATATGTTTGTTTATGTGTTTTTATTTTAGTTTCCACTAGATCATCTTAAATCCAAAAATAACCCTCTATTCAAGGGTGGATCCGGGGGGACGTGGGGGAAGTACGCCCCCCACCAGTAAATAAATAAATAAATAAATAAAAATAGGTAAAAAAGAGGGAGGAGGAAAAAAAGAGGGAGAGGCAAAGCAACTGCAGCTCTACTTCCCAACGTCCCTAATTGTACGGCCGCAACCCTAAAATGTCCATACCCTCCCCCTTTAGGAGTTGAATATCCAGGATCCGCCCCTGTTTTTTACCATTTTCTGTTATTTTCCGCTCTTCCAGCACAGGCTTCAAGTACATATGTACATTCATTGATCTTAGGACAGCATGGTGCATGTACATGACTAGCTCTGAAATTTTTGAGACCCGTTTTAATCTTAAACTATGTACAGACTAAACGTGGAGCGTTAGTATGCCGATCCCGTCCAAAATCAGAGGAATACTCCATCCATGTACATTGAGTAAGCTTAAAACAGTTCTCAAAAATTTTAAAGACTGACCAAAATACGTCTATCACCACCTACTGGCTTCTGTAAATGCCAATGTCAAACGGTTAGTTTGTGTATCAAATATCAGTGATATTTCTGCCCTCAAAATCTGACCGCCGCCTCGCTCGACACACGCACAATACTAGTAACTTCTCGCCGCCCGTACCTTTCAAATGCGCGTGTAGCGAGGTTTAGAAAATACGCAATAACACTGGTCGAGTTCGGGCCGGGCCTTTTCTTGACACGGGTTTCTTGTTCTCGCGCTCGAACGGCGGGAACACGACTCAAGAANCAAAATTAACCTTAATTATTTTCCGTAACACAGAAATGAATATTCCTGTTTATATAGAAAAGATACAGCCTATCCAGACATTAACTCTCGAATAACGTAGCCTACATGGACGCCGCCATGTTGCATGTAACTAACTACCAGCGGCCGACCCACGAACAACAAATTGAGCTGTTTACGGTAACAAAGCCGCTCGAACTCGGCCACTAAGTTCGAAACATGGTGCTCCCAGAAATATGTATGAGTGGCCTATACGTGGTCTGGGCTTAAGACTTGTTGATCGTGACAGTGGAGTGCTACCAGCGACTGTTATCTGGTCAATACGTCGTGTGCCCCGAGTACATTTGGGCCACTGGAGCTCCTGCGGTTTCGTGAGAGGACCATATTCGCTTATAGAGGAAACAGTCGTTGGTAGCACGCCCAATCGTCACGATCACTGATCTCTATCGCGATCAACAAGTCTTGTGCCCACACCCGTATAGGACACTCACGTATGTTTCTGGGAGCACCATGTTTCGCCCATATTGCATACTCTCGCAGCACAGTTTAAGTGCTGTACACGTGTCGAGCGAAAACGGTCGGATTTTGACAGATTTGAGGTCAAAAATATCATTGTAGGGCCAACCGTTTTACGTTGGCATTTATGGAAGCCAGTAGGTGATGATAGAGGTATTTTTGGTGAGTCTTTTGAATTTTTGAGAACCGTTTTCACTTTATAATTTAGTCTTTATGTACAGGCGTGGAGCGTCAGTAGGCCAATGACGATCCCGTCCAAAATTATAAAGAGGAATGCTAACGCTCCACTTAGTATAGCTACTACATGACATATTTGATATTGTGGGGTAAAGCCCCTGGAAGGACTTCCAATTCCTACACCCTATACGACCTGAAGCTGCAAATTCCAGGAAAGGAGATGTCACCCATATGGCCATGATCCCTCCATAAAGTATAAGCTCCTACGAGTTTCCTTGGAAAAGAAAATACAAGTTCCTCTTCAACGAGTCAGAAGTTAGAGAACAATGTTATATCTGCTAGTCTTTTGTGTCGTGGGATAGGTTGGAATGAAGGTAAGTGTCTTGCGTTGTTTACAGGGGTGACTGTGAAGCATGCACCCATATGGAGCTATATTTATATATGCAATCACACGTATGAAGCCAAACCGGGGTTCACAACCATGCACAATGCATGATATCTAGGTGCTCAACCAACCATAAAAACTTCACATGTGAAATTAGACTCCAATAACATTCAGGCTTTATTTTCCTCAAAAAAAAAAACCTCCCTGCCCACAATTCCAACCTGTGATTCGAACCCACACCCCATGCATCACAAACCATTATGCCATAACCGCTTGACTACCGCAAATCACACAAATTGATGGTGTTTTTACTGTCGATATAACAATAAACGGCTGCAACGCAAGTCTAATACACATTGGGCATGCGCAATACAAACACAACCATCGTGGTTTGGCGTCATACGTATGGTTGCATCTCCCCATATGCCACCATTTCTTCTACGATAAGAAATGTGTAGTGATGAAACTGATCATTCTTATTATTTTATTCATGCCAATAGTGCACATCACAAAGCGAGGGGCAGAGGAAAGATGAGTAATCAAATCACTGTAGTCAAAAGACTTTTCTCCCTGCATCCAATGTGAGATAAAAAGTATTAGAAAAATATAAATATATATATGTGTAAATTGACGCAAATACATTGTTGATGTTAAAAAGCATGGGTAAAAAGCCCTAACATTTAGGAATTGTTAAAAGGACAATAATTTTTTAAAAAAGAAAAAAATAGCAATAAATAATCATTAAAAAGGACACCCAATATCTAAGACAAAGGACATAAAAGTAACAAAACAATTACTGACTATAACAAATAGATGATACTTCCCAATTTAAAAATTAACAAATTATAACAATAAGTTAAGCATTAACACAACATAACCCGACATGAGATAAACGAGTATGTGAATACATGTCCATGTAAAATAAAAACGAGGGGAGAGAGAGAACCGTGATTAGCTGCAAAGCAACTAAAATTGTCTTAGTTATGGCGATGCCTCGATGCCTAAAAAATGTATGGATTCTAACCTAACGAGATCGATGTGTAGGCTAGGCAGTATGCTACAGTTGATTAAACCGGATAGAAAACACTCATTTTAGCAACGTTAAAAAAACTTGAGAAGGGCTGCAAGGCGAAGGCATTACGAACATATTAAGGGAGGTTAGACCATAAACAAGGAAACGGATGAAAACAAGATAAGTGTAAAGGTTGAGTTCTGGCTTGAAGATGATTAAAGCTAATTACGTCTGAATGCCTACAGTTTACCGTTACTCTATGACTACACAATTCACATTTGACAAGATTAAAGAAACATTTGGATACATAAGACAACACCGCAATATTACACCGATTGGATAAAGTGGGTCAGTTAAGAGTGTCCAGTCTTGCTACATATGACATAACCCCACGTTTCTGACCCAAGACAAACCGAGTGGCCGACGCTGGATATTTTCTAGAAGATCTTCTTGTTTTTTGTTACGTGGCAACCAGGCGGGAACACCGTACTCCAGGATAGGAAGTACAAGGCCCTTATAAAGGCATGATTGGCAGGAACTGAGGCATTGCAAGCATCAGTTTTGATGAGGCGAAGCATATGGTTAGCAGATGAATTTACATTCTTAATACAGTCATTCCAGGAGAGTTGAGCACTCAGAGTGATGCCAAGGTACTTGACTGTTGGTGTAGCTGTAAGAGGGGCACCTGAAAGAACATAGGCTAGGAGGGATTGGTTGTGTTTACGAGATATGTGCATAATTAGGATTTTGAAGTGTTAAATGTCATACCGTAGGAGTCACTCCAAGTACTTAACTTATTAAGATCGTTCTGAAGAATACAAACGTCAGATTGTGTATGAATGGGACGGTATAGTAACTCGTCATCAGTAAATAAGGCACACTGGGAGTTGACATTAATGAAAATATTTAATAGCAGGGGCCCCAGAACACTACCCTGAGGAACACCTGATTTCACCACAGACCACTCCAAGGCTCGTCCGAGAAAAGTTACTCTCTGCAGACGGCCAACAAGGAAATCTTTTATCCAGCTCCAGAGAGCACCTTTAACGTTACACCAAGAAGCAAGCTTGTGGAGAGATATGTCATGCGTCATACGGTCAAACGCTTTGCACATGTATAAAAACACAGCATCAATTCTAGGTGGGTTATGCTTATCTAACTCCGCTGCCCACGCATTGTAAACACTAGTTAGTTGAGTTACACAAGATCTAGGAGGCATTAAGCCATGTTGATTGGCAGAAATTAGACAATAATCACCCAAGTGCCTAAGAGATAACTCTTTCCATAAATTTGCATACAGTAGACGTTAAGGCAACAGGCCGGTAATTACCTAGACAACAACGATGCGTTGATTTAAAACAGGAGTTATATTGGCAGTTTTCCAGGCCGGGGAAGGCGACCGGATCTTATGGAAGTGGCGAAGATTCTGCTCAAGACTGGAGAGATCGAATCTTACACCATCACCATCAGGCCCAGGTGCCTTCCCAACTGGCAGAGATGAGATGATTCGATGGATACTACCTGGCATAAATTAAATAGAAGTTAGAGCATCAATAGGGAGATCACAGTTTGAAAAAAGGAAGTTTAAAACAACGCCGCAGCTCTGGCGCTCGATGAGTGCTTGATAAACACAATGGAACACAGCAGTTGACATGGATTATTTCGGTGAATCGGGAATTTTCTTCTTTTTTTTCGTGTCAGGTCGATACACACGCCATATAGTATACGTTACACATAACGTGTCATATCGACGCGTTCCTGCAACATCCCCACCTTTCACCCACAATGTACCGCGGTAAACACTACATTACGTCATTATGTTGTAGGTCTATTCGGACAGGGTTTAAAAACTTGGACTTTTGCCGTGCACGTCTAGTATACCCTGAAAACGGTCTTTCGTAACGCACACTGATCAAGAAACAAAGTAGTCGACGCGATCACCTCCCAAATTCGATTCACTAAAATACAAAAGCGATAAGGCGTATACAATGACTGTGTACCCAATAGTACGCACGTCTGCGGTCCTTCCTCCATGGTGCATTAAAACGGAGTCTTCATATGTAATATTTGTATGCCTGTGTACAGACGTAGGGCCTACTTTCAAAATGAGTATGTGATTGTTTAATAAACCAACATCGTGTGTCGTACACGTACAACCGGATTTATGTAGACCTTGACACCTTTTCTAGGGCAGGTTTGTTAAAGATCTGTTTTCATGCAGAATCGGGGTACGTAAAAAGTGTTCGGCGATCGGTATTCGTAATCCTAAATATTTCGGCATTAATATTAGGTAGAACCAATAAAATTGAAGTTGAAAAATATGGACCGTTTCCAGAGAAACGAAGTATGGATGGTACTATTTTGTCCTCGGAGTCTGAGAATACCTCGACCTGGAAAGTACTTGTTTACCATTCACGAGCTCAGGGGAAAAAGTGCACCTGTAGCTTGGGACATTATCGGCGTCCGTCTTCCTGATTCGGTCTGAAAAGAAGGTTGAAAACTGGCCAAGCACATCATTCGTTCCTTTATTCAAGCGAAAAGAATCACACAAGTATAAGCCTACAGAAAGGACAAAAAGGGGTTTGCTTAGCTGGGATATTTGCGTAATAAAAGGAAAGAAAGAAAACTTAACCTCTAGCGGGTCAAAGTTTCAATGGGCTATGTATAGCTTTGACCTCTTCTCAGGTTTATTTTAATGCAAACATGCTTTTTGAGGCGTTTAGGGTGCGTTGAAGGTAATTATACGTTTTGACAATTATGATGTATGGTGTTCAATATTTACCATCTAACGTTACAAATCTCGCTTCACATTTTTCGCGTTTAATGTCATAGGCTACACTTGCGTCAAATAAGTGTGCGCTTCCACCATTGCCGTGCGATTGGTTGTCGTGTTTTGCCTCCTCCAGTGTTTCCAGCGTTTGTTCTGTAATCGACAATGTAAATAGTAATGAAAGAGCATGGGCGCCGTGCATGGCACAAATACAAGAAGAGTGGCTCGTATCGCGGCAACGGTGGAAACGGTCATGCTAAATTTACATTTGACGCGCACTAGATATGAGATTCCAAACATAACGTGAGATACGACATGGCAATTATAGAACACCACACGAATGAGCCTGTATCCGGCCTCTTTGTGTCTGTGAGAGGCGCTCGAAGCCTTATGCAAGTGGGTTGTTCACGGTTCAGTGCCATGATAAGGAAACACAATAGTGAATTTGAATAGTCTTTGTTCAACCCCCACCCATATGCAGACTTCATGGAATACAGGCATAGGATCCAGCATCTGTGTGAGTGTTAAAGATTCGACGTGAGTCTGGTTTGTGCTCTTTGAACGACTTCGCGATGGCATCCCTTTTGCAAAGGATTTGGAATGGTGGTCCATCTCTATGGCTGGCTGTAGCTGTGACTTGCATGCTCCTGGGCAGCAGCCACACATCCATTCTGCCAGGAGCTTCAGAAATGTTCCGGGCTGGATTGGGTCTAGATTTGACCGGAGGAAAAGTCCGAGAGCGCCGGCATGTTGCCAATGAGTCTTCCCTGATGCAGATTATCGACGCCTTTGGCGCCAGCGGGGCGATGACTAAGGAGCAACTGCAGAAGTTACAGACAGCGATGAATTCCCAGGTAAACACACGTACCACTTGGTCATAAGAACCCTTCAATATCATCTTTTTAAAAGGAAACAAATAGCTCACGTGTTGTTTTGCTACCTCTCACTAGTCAGACTGATGTTTCTCTATAAAAGGCGTATGGATACTATACCAGATTAAGGTGCTTGACCTCGACGGTACCAGTGAAAAATGGTGAGCAGTAATGTCGGTTGGACACGTCAACCTAGATATACATACGTGGAATACCAGAAAGGTCAATTACATGTGCCCCATGTTACATTTGCAGATATGATCACTCATGGAGACCCCTGCGTCTGTCGATCCACAATTTGTGCACCCATAACATGATCAACCCTCCCCGCACTCATGGGACTTCTTACCCCGCCCACGCTTCTTTACGTATCCTATCCGGACTTTATTGAACCCAAGGAAGCACTGCCCCCATTTTTATCCCAACGATTCCCAGATGTCAGCCAGCTGCTGACAGGAGGCATTACAGACCCCACAATCCCTTCTAATAGCATTTAAATTGATCAGTGGGTGTCCTGCAGGCCCTGCAAGTAAAAACCCCGCAGAAGAAAGGTCAGAGTATCCTTTTTCCAGTCCAGGAGGGGGGCTCCCTCAACGGACAAGCCACAGTCAAAGAAATATCTACACCGCAATGAACCAACCCTAACAGCTGTCTAGAAAGATCAGAGAGACCGAACATTGAGATAAGACAGGTCCTGGTTTGTAAAGACTCCCATATAATGAAATACCACTGAAAGAAGAAAAACTTTCATCTACACACTAGGTGAGAAACATCATTCTAAATCAGTGTGACGACATTTTGATGTACGACCACATGGGATACACAACAACCATTTGTAGTGAATAGGCCTAAAGGTGAAGTTGTGGGTGACTTTAAAAAATTCAATTGTTGCCACATGCGCCTAAACTCTATTTATTCACAATGCATGTAACCATATCGCACCAAACTCTACGAATCTTTGTATAAAGCAGGTTCGGATAGCTTGCTGTATTGTTTCTAACAAATTTCCTGATAAATCAACCATTTCAATCTCATCAGCAATTGGCTCTGCTTTTGCATGCAAATCATAGGACCACACGGACAGTTGTTGGGAGCGATTTGTCAGGTGAATTACCGCTTGTATATGGACTGGATCCTGATATTTGACCCATTAACATCCATGTACGACTACAATTACTGAAGAAAGGAAGAGTATCCAAAAGAGACGAGAGAAAAGACAGCTGAATTTAAGAATGAGACGAGATCAATGTTATATGAACATCGCAGGAATAAAAACAAATGTAAATACAACTGGTCAAAAAATCCCGACCCTTTCTCCCAGCAATATTCTGTACTGCTGTGCATAATATTACCGATAGACGCTTGTGAAATGTTAATTAACAAAAAAGGAGTATAATACGTCTAATGTGTTAAATTTAAAAGAAGTGACCTTGCGCCTTCGGGTTATGGTCATGGAAACATTTTGAGCCACGATTTGTGAAAAAAAGCTGCAGGTTTCAATGGTTCCAATACTAATTGTTGCAAAACTGTGGTCTAATATCTCACGCATCGTACCCAGAGTTGTTTGCACGGCTACTTCTGAGATTTAGCTTCAAATGTGCGACCTCAACCATAAATTAGTTCCAAATAGCTCCATTCAACGTCCATGAGTGAAATCTGCTTTGTTTCCAGTTTCCACAGCGGATGGAGACACGATTGACATGACGGCTATACGGTTATTCAGCCACGCTTTGTGGACACACCTGGTCACTGTAAAAAAAAAGGTTTTGTAAAACTGATTAAAAATCCTGCTTCATCGACGTAAATTAAGGCATTTCATGGGTTGTGAGAAAGCACTGAACCAAATCAGTTTGTGCCAGAGTTGTTTATGCTGTTTATGCTAACATGTATGCTAAGTTCATAACTTCCACGGGACCGCAAAAGGCGACAGATTTCCGTGAGAAATAAGGCCATCAAAGCGAAGTCCAAGTGGACCTCTGTATGCAGTCTACATTTTGTAGGCGGAGACAAAACTTACCATGTACCAGATCCTACAATTTTCCCGTGGACAAGTGAGTGGGTGGAGGTTGTTTTTCGACAGATTTGGAACTTATCCAAATCTGTCGCCTTTTGTGGTACCGTGGAAGTAAAAAAAGCAGCTCTGGCGTTCGTTGAGTGCTTGAAAAACACAATGGAACACAGCAGTTCACATTTTGGACGATAATCGGGAATTTTTTAAGTTTTTCCTTTTTTTCGTGTCAGGTCGATACACACGATAAACACTGCATTACGTCATTATGTTGTAGGTCTATTGAACCCACAAACTTCTCTTAGTCTAGCCTTCACCATACTCAGTCTCAATCTTACTTTTCTACATCAATTTCTCTCTTCACTATCAGAGTCGATGGGAACAAAAAAGTCCTTTTCACACTTCTTATGGAATTTTAAAACTTTGTCCACAAAAGCATAAACGGTTAGCATTGCGAGCAAATCTGAAAAAGAATAGCAAAACCTGCTCAATAGAAGTGATTTTGTGGACTGTCGGGTCGACTCATTCATTATATAGGCCCTAATTGCGTTATAGAGGAATTTGTGCCTAGCCCTTAAGTCTCTTTTGTAACACGAATCACTGTCATGTCAAAATAGTCCCAATTGTCGGGAATTTCTGTTTTTAGTAAACATATAATACATTTTATGGTTGAAGAGTGATCATATGGTTTTCTGTACTCCTATTATTACCAGTGATGTAATGGAGACTACGTGTACTTGAGACCTTCACAAGACCTCCAGTCTGAATTCAAGTCACAAGCTGTTCAATTCTTAGTTGTGTCTGGTTTTGTGTCTGGTCTTGTGATGGTCTTGACTATAACATTGATGATTACTGTTTTTCCTCTTGGTTTCCGTCAACACCTTGTCTCGAGATCCAACAGGGGAGTCCAGTTAACCCTCTACAGTCTTTCGTGAACTTGGTGAACATACCGCGTCTTTGACGTCATTTCATGTTTCCTGCACGTTAGTACAGCATCAAAATTAGCCCACTACTTTTGTTATAAATGCACTCGGATTTATTTGGTCCCTGCCGTTCCAGGATAACACAGCTCAACCATTCTTAAGTATGTGCCCCGAATGAAATGACCCTGCATTCATGCTTTCTGGTATGAAAACAGCAAGATTAATGCTTATGCTTTACAATACGAAAGAGTGACATTCGGACAAAAAGAAAAATACGGTTTTACAAGTTTTCATTTACAATGAAATGCTCAATAAGCCAGACGTGAGGGTTGTTTGTAGCGAGAGCAGCCTATTGACGCTTAACCATTTTGATGGCTTTTTTTTGGGGGGGGGGGGTTTATGGCGTGTGTGCATATATTCGTGCGCGACCAATTTCTATGACCGCCAAGGCTTTTCGATTACCTACCGTTATCAGCCCATGGCTGTGTGTGTAAGAGGCATCATTGCGAAATCTAAAGAAGTCGGCTCCATTCGTTTGCATTATAAATGGTTAAAAATGACATCACATTTCGGTAATCAATAAAGAACTGGCTTCATTTTTGTCCCCCCCCCCGAGAGGTTTTTTTCAATCCACCCTACGCGCCCACAAGTGTGTTTTCTTGGTTAATTTTTCTCCTTCCTGATCTTATTTTGTCTTTTCAATCTGTACAGTGCCATTCTGTAGACAAGCTCCTCTCGTATCATTCCTTAACCGAGGAGGATTTGCTGAACAACACAGCGGCAGCACTGCAGGAAATCTGCCCGTCCCTGCTCTACCAGACGGCCCTACATTCATGTTCGCATCACGACCACGAGGACGATCACCACCACGATCATGACCACGGTTACCATGAAGGCGAAGAGCCGACCACAGCACAAGGTTATAAATATATGAAATTCCTTCAATCATATGATTGATATTGCAAGGCAAAGTACCATACTCTAAACACTGGTAATTTGTTCGTACCTTTTTAAGAACTCAAACCAATCTAGGGTCAAAATGCAGCTAGATAATAAAGTGTTCATTCTCGATTTTTTGTACAAACAGGGTCAAAGTTTTCAAAACTGTGTGGTCAAAAAAGAACAAGCCGTGTAGCAAAATTCTAGCTCTGGCATGACATTGGTAAAGAGATGAAATCGATTTTTTAATAAGACACTATGGTGAAGATCAAACATCGAACTCACTTCTTTGTTGATTATAATTGATAACTCTTCTCGTTACATGTACAATATGTTTGATAGTTTGGGGCTACGGTATCCTCTGTGTGACCATCATCAACCTGGGGTCGCTCATGGGTGCTTTTGTCGTCCCATGCATGGACAAAAAGGTCTACAAGCTCATTCTAACCTACCTCGTTGGACTGGCCGTGGGCACCCTGACCGGAAGTGCTCTCCTTCACCTGATCCCCAAGGTATTCTGAGCTCGAGAAAGGCATACAAGCGTCAACTGAATTCCTCAGATTGCGCCATGTATCATTTTGTGTTTGGCAAACCGCGTTCGCATGGATACGGGTTGACATGTCCTGACCAGAAATCATATTTTGAACATGTGTTACTGTTATGATAGCTATGGAGTGTCGACTCATTTCGTGCATTGTGATTGGCCAACGCGTTGCAAACTCTTGGTGGCGCGCTATTGTGAAACAGGCGTATTACATAATAAAGTAGTTTTCTACATGAACGAGTTTCTCAAACTTCTGCTTTCATGACAAAGTTTATAGCAAATGATGTCACTGAATTGCTTGCACTGAGGCTAAGTATTAAAAACCGACCAATCTTCCTAGCTTTGAATAGTTCACAAGACTCTTCAGACAAACGTTATCGTGGCCGCTGGAGACTCTGCTTGCATTTCTGTCATTACATCATAATTTCCGATCTTTATAGGCTTAAAACGTTATCATTTAATTTCCTTTCATTTCCCTAGACGTATCAAGTGCATGAGGATGATGTGGTATGGAGAAATACCTGCATCTTGGCGGGTATATACATATTCTTTATGGCAGAACGATTCTTGAAGATTTTTTCGACCAGAAAGGACTTGAACAGGGTAAGTCATCGGCATATGGAAGGCACAAGCAAGCAACAAAACGCTCCTGGGTCATTGCAGCATAGCAGGTCGTACCTGGTTTCCTTGGCAACCTAGCGACTAGGTACGATTCTCCCCACCCCCACCCCCGGCTGGGATGCAAATACATGTTCATCATATGTTTACTCCCCTATCCGCACCCTTGAAGTGCACCCTTGCAATCGCAGGCGAATGAAAGAACTGGGCTCTTGCATGGATTTGGCGTGCGCGCGCAATTCGGCGTGCTCCGGCATAAAGGCGCCTTTCTATATGCACGCCAACACTTCCGCAAAGTATTGCATATCAGTCATAATCGCTCCAAGGGCGATTTTTACGGCCGAACACAGCGGACACCTGTGTCATATTTATGGAGTCTATTTCTGTGTTCGTGAAAGTGAAACACGAGTGCATCGTGTACGCAACGCACCCAAAAACCTACATATGGAAAGGCACCTTAACTTCGTTGAGCGCAGCTCAGCGTGCCCGCGTTACGCGCATAAACTTGTCAACTGGCTACACGGGAATGAGTATGCAGACGTCATTGATTTTTCTTCTTGAATGTTACACAGGAGAAGAAACAACAGGATGGCATTACGCATATCTCAGGAATGCACGATATGACACCACATGACGAGCCCTACAAGATCACCTCGGGTGACTCCGCCCTTGGGCTGAGCGATTCCATACCAACCCTTGAGGTAGGCTTGATATGTGCAAGGACGCTTTGAAAATCAACACCTTGACTAAACCTATTATCTTCACAAAAGCTGTTATTATGAGAAAGAAACTGGGAATTTCGTTGTATCCTAGCTGTAAAGCAAGCCATGGCCGCTTAATGGGGCATGGAAAGGAAGCCAAATGGAAAATACACAGAATGTTATGCCTTTAAATGAAGTCTTTGTATGCGTTTTCATCGATTTTTGGTAGCCTCTGTGAACGACTTTAAAACAGATTAATTCAGGGATGTCTAAGACCATGTCTGAATCACTTGGCTGCGGCTTGAAATTACACATTCGACTCTACGGGAATTGACTGCAACCACGACCACAGACTCGCGCGTAAAAGTAGGCCGCAACCAAGTAAATCGGGCACGACCTCTACCTTGAAATGTTTCTTTTGCGCATGTCACAGACTAAGGATGCTTTTGTGCAAAAAGACAATGACCTGACCAAGAATGGCAAAGTGCATATCGCCACGGTGGCTTACATGATCGTCTTCGGGGACGGCCTGCATAACTTCGTAGACGGGTTAGCTATCGGGGCTTCCTTCAGTACGTCACTGCTGGCTGGGTTCTCGACTTGCATAGCGATCGCCTGCGAGGAATTCCCGCATGAACTCGGTAGGTTTTCACCTGAGGTGTGTTAATATAGTTTCATCAGTCCGTCGCTTTTATAGTTTCAGGTTGCTTATTCTGTCGGATAGCAGATTTTCCTGAATCTATCAGCATTGAAAGAAAACGTTGAGTTTGTTTTGTTTTGCCTTTGCACGAGATAGAAATTATTATTTTAGACAGTCAGAGAAAATGGCTCTGACAATGTAAGATTCATATTTTCAACTTTTATCAATAAAGTGTATAATTATAGACTACATTAAGATTTAATGTAAAAGGTGACATGTAAAGATGACATCCGCGCCGGTACAGTCCTCGTGGAGCTGTAATTGGTAGCGGCGGCATTTTAGTTGCTGTATTGACATTGGCCCTTCTGCTGATGGTGTGGCTGTTTCTGCTGGGTGCTGTTCATAAGATAATTTTATCAATTTGTTGACCTGCAGGGGATTTCGCTATTCTTCTGAAATCTGGACTGTCTGTGAAACAAGCCATGGCTTTCAATTTCACGTCTGCCTTGGCTTGCTACATTGGACTTGTGATCGGCATTGTCGTTGGCCGTCTGACATCAGCAGAGCCTTATATATTCGCACTGGCTGCCGGCATGTTTTTGTACATCGCCTTGGCTGACATGGTGAGCCCCTATGCATACATGTTGACGAGGCGTATGCTCATAACCAGATGAGTTGTCAAGTTATAATTTCATTCAGTTAATCAGTCTTACGTGGCTAGAGTCATTTAGATTAACAATGGATCATCAATACCCTGTTATCACCTTCTACACACTGATATTTCAATCAATTTGGAATCGAGCAACTTTTACATCCTTAATGAAAACATTCCAATATATGTAACAAAGTGGATTCATGAATATTCATGTATCTAATATTATTGGCATCAATAGGTTGGCGTGAAGAGAGAATTATAAACTCGTCGGCTTATGTGGAGATGCCTGACAAAAACAATCACAGGGACAAAATAACAATCGGACAAACAGAAATACAATGCGAATGGGTTTACAGTAACCATCGGGGAATAGCGAAAATGAATGAAATCATAAATAATGAACGATTGGTGGAAAGCTTAGGCCTACTGGCTAAAGATAACGGTTTAATTGAAAATGTAACCAAACGCATGAATATAAATGAACAGGGATCTAGTCCACCGCTCTGATATGCCATCACTGACCCTTGATTGATTCTAGAATTAAATAAATTGTATATTGTGTAGGACTCTACACTCTGACCGAGATTCCTTTCGCTGGCTTTCTCATCTCAATACAGCTTCCGGAGATCTCCAACGTGGCTTCCAAGGACAACTTCAAACTCAGTCAAGAGCTGAAAATCTTCCTGTTGCAGAATGCCGGAATTCTGACGGGGTTCGCCATCATGATTTTGCTGTCCGTGTACCACCACCAAATCCAGATCAAAGGCTAGCTGTCCATCGGGAAGAGCAGATTGGGTGGACTTCACGAGCCGTCAACATGGTCTCGACATAAACTTTTATAACACCATTAGATTCAACTCGAAGCCACCGGGGTACGCCCTTACCTCATCTTCCTACGTGCACCCATGGGCGTTAATATGACGTCTGTTCACGCACCATAGATGTTATATTGTAGTCCATGGGGCGCAGTCGCGCATCTAAAATTCAGTCTTTCTTGCGTGCTCGTAAAGAGGTTAACTCCAGTGATCCTTTCCACAAGGTATAGAATTATTGTAAAATGAGACGCAAGATCCAAGTACTTTGCTTTGTAGCTAGCCGTTAGAACGGTTACACTGAATAATTTGTAATGTTATGAGTTCTGAAAAAAGGGGGTTGATTTGGTTTGTGGATGTTGCTGTGAGAACTAAATTCTATTTTTATATGTGGTGGAAACGAAGCCGTCTGTGGGGCATTGGGAATTCCTAATATCGCACTGGCGTCAGTGACCCCTGTTAATAAAATTGAAATGAAAATATCTTGTTTGGTTGCCTGATCTGCAAAGGTGAAATGTTAATCGGGAAAGTTAGCATAAAGGTATTTAGCATTTCTTTTTTAAACAAATGACAATATTTTATTCAGATGAGTTCGGGTAACTAAAGTGTGTTTTTCTATAAATAAAAATAAAAATCTGCTTGTATATATTTGTACTTTGGGACATATTTTTAGAATAAACGTTTTATGAAGTACTAGTGCAGGTATTAGCATCTACCAAATAATCGATGGATACTAGTCATGTTAATGAGTGCAATCGAATGTTCTATTCTATGAAGCAAAGCTGCATGGAATGGAACTTGCCACAAGCATACGAAAGCACACCATGCATTTCCACAAACTGCCAGGCCTGTAGGTATGCAACTGGTAACCTGCAGTTCACTTTTAGTTTTCTTTCTCCCACGCACGCCATTCTGAGTAAAACATTTCCTGCCTGAAGAGAGAATCCAATTTTCTGAAATGGAGACTTCCATTTGTGTGTATGATTTTTTATGTTTAACTGCCTGAGAGATTTCCAGTTATCATTGATGACTGGCTTCAAGCCTGTAATTACTTTATGAATTTCAGAACTTTACTTTTTACCGTTTTCGTCATAGCAGTGACACTTAATAAGTCACTAATATTTTTACTTCAGTAGTGTGAAAACTAGAAGTATGTAAATCAGTTGTAGTAGGCCTATTTGAAACTTGCGTTTCCTGTTCATGGTTTCCCAAGAAAGTGTGATTGTACAGGTTTGCATTGAAGCCATCTTAAGGGGACAGTTCTTATATTCAAAATTATTTGCACAGATGGGGTTTCATTTAGGAACCAAAGATCTGCCCTACAAGATGGCTTCCACGCAAAGCCTCTACAGAATGTGCTGTGTTGTAAATGTGAAGTGGATCAGCGGACTTGCACAGTCTCCAAAAACACATATATCAGTGATTGTATGTACCGGCGTATCATGGTGGCCATTCCCCGACTCCCCCCCCCCCAAAAAAAAGTTTTTGAAAAATAGTCAGAGAAAGGCGGCTTGGGGATCGATTTCATTTGGTGTTATTACATTAAGTAGTAAAAAGCCCTCAAATATTGCCTGAAGTACTCCCAGTTAAGGCAATAAAACGCTACATGAAACATCCCAAATTCCCCTCCCCCACAAAATAACAAAAGGACATTAGCAAGTAGTCTCAATCGAGCCGCAAGCTATAGGGAAATGTAATCCTTTGCTATTTCCCCATTCCCATTGATAGCGTCGTTTGAGACCAAGTTATGATCCACTACTGTAGAATCTGCCTGATTCATTAGAGAGAAGTTGCACTTTCCTTCCCTTCAAAACAGTACCCGAAGGTTTACGATATGGATCCAGCACGATCATTTGCGTACAGGAAATTGCAGAAGTTCGGGGTCCGATTTTTGTGTCCCTGTTACATCCAACCATTGTTATTGGACATGAAAATATCACCGGAATTGATTTCAAACTATTACCAGTTGTATAGCAGGTAATTTCCATCAACTCAACACTCTTGGAAATTAGAAAATTTGTTCTGAACTTTAAAAAATCATGTCAGATATGACAGGGACACGAAAAAATGGACCCCTAATTTTTGGAATTACCCATACACGTACATGTATTCAGGTGCGATTTAAAATATTCTAGTTGTAAGGTTTAATTAAGATGTTTAACTTTTTTTGGTTTTGTTTTAATTTCAAACCACTTGAGTGTAGGATGCAGTTAACTCTAGAGGATTAAAGTATGTATCAGTAAGTTTCATTTTCTTTCAACATTTCTGTTTGAAAATTTTGTTCTGTTTTGTTCTGTTGTCCTGCTTTGTCTGTGTTAGGGGGGTCAAAGAACTCCAAACATCCGTCAAGGAAGGAAATTAATTAAGAATTACGATAGGTTAGCTCAAACGGGTTTTTTCCCCAAGTTGCAGAAGGTTGAAGCTGCAATTGCAGCAATTTTCGAAGCTCAGATGCCAAGAAAATCGTTTCAGTTAAGGAGAAACGACGAAAAAGTGGAGATTCTTTGATTCGAATAGGCGAGGACGCGGAGCCCATTCAATAGAAGAATCTTCACCTTTTGAGTCGTTTCTCGAACTAAAACCACGTCCCTCCCTCCGCTATTGTTCATATTAAACAAAAGAACAAAAAGGCTTTACTGGTGCTTTGAGATGAACTATCTTTTGTCCAGCGTTGGCTGGCGATGACATTTGCATTTACATAAAAGCTTTATTCCTGTCCAATTAAGCCATTGAGTAACTCCTCGGCTGGGTGCACAACTGTTTTTTATTTACAAGCACAGTACATGCTTTACACGAAACTGACACACAGACATGCAGTCGACACCACCAGTGTATGGCACGGCACACAATGTTTGACGCTCCGAGTGGATTTATATTTATTTATTACTTACGGAAATATGCTAGATTTAAATTAGCAAAGGCTACCGATATGACTGTACGAAGCTGGGACCCGTTTACACCACCAACAAGCAAGTTTCTCGAGTGACTGATTTGAGAACTTCAGTTTACTGTCTAGTCAAATGAAGATTACGTTTACAACCTTGAAAGTACCGGTACATGCTTACTCTCTAAAATCCCCCAGTCACCGAAGGAAATTCTTCCGTTTGAATAATACATACATTTGGAATATCATCTCATTCATCTGGGAAGCATCATACGTAAGTTTCTAAACGATTAATCTGTTGTGCAAAATTGTACATGAATTGTGATTGCTGAAGTCGTTTTAAAGTTGTTATACTAACACAGAAAGAGGTGAAACTGTGGTTTACCCGAAAGTAAAGTGGCTAGATGTGAATTTTAAAATAAATACACAAAGAAAAGGGATTTTGAAAAAAGTATACGTAACCATTAGAATAAATATCTAAATTAAAATGAAAAAAATGAAATAAAACTAAAATGGAAGGGATATGTAAATAGGAAATTAAAATAGAAGAGGTATGTAAAAATTGAGACAACTTTTTAAAAACAAAAAGTGCAACGTAAGGAGCTGTTCGGTTTAATTGAAAATCTTTAACCTCAACAGAAAACGTTACTGCGTCAAATATAAAAATTTGGGTGTCAACGGTACTGAACGTCTAAACAAGATAGTTGAGAGAATTTCTTATTGTGTTTGACGTTGTAGTTTCATGTCACAAGTGCTTTTTCTTTGTGTATCAAGTGGCTGTGGATGCATGTCCACACTCTACATTCTTAAAAACTGTACATTCTTTTTAAGAATGTACGGTTAACTGAACATTCTTAAGAATAAACGACACTTTACTGGATAGGAAGACGTCACAAGAGTGTTTTAATTCAGAAGAAAAGTGGTTTCATTCAAGGATTTTGAAAGAGCTCCCACCTACTTGCTGAATAGTACGTTGAACTGGATTGATAGGAGGGTGATATCCACTGTTATGTTAATTTGGCACTATTTTGCATATATCGGTCCGCGTTGGCGGCCAGTCCAAGTGTATAAACAGTGGAAATGTTCCACCTAGTAGACTAGGTCTCTGCGTTCCTTTCATTCTGTTTGTTGAATTGTGCTCATTCCTTTCTATTGAGTTCGAACATCCGATACAATAGAAGTTTTTAGGTTTGAATGCTCAATCAAGAAGATTGCATTCCTTGAAAAGGGGCGTTTAGAGCTAAACAGCCAATAGGGTTTAACAGAAACATTACACAAGGTCTATTTCGATATGAGTCCAAGTACACGAAAACAAAAGGCATGGTCCCGTGCATCTCCAAATTAATTCGTTCAACACCACGTCCATTCATCCATTCTAGTCACAGTATTAATTCAAAACCTGATTACAAGGCCTGGCAATCGGCGTAGTATAATTGGGCTTTAGTTATTGCTGACTGTTCGTAACCTTGTTTCTTTTTTACTTGAAAGAGGGACTCAAAAAAACACTCGCCGCTGTCTCTAAATCACAACGTTTTTCATTTACTGTATTTAAAGTTTGTGTTAACTTCAGGTAATGTGTGGAGCAGGTGTACTTTCTTTCACGACGCAGAATCGCTTTGAACTATTTAATTATGTTTAATTTACTTTTTAGCACTGAAGAAATGTCTTTAAAACGCTACGGTACATCAACAATACGGGATTGTGCACGTGACACGATGTAAAGTCAACTCTATGTCAATGCAGGCAGGAAGTATACTGCGCAGTCGTGCAGGAAGATTTCCCTAGTTATGTAGGTCATTACTTCTTGACGAATTGATTGGTCGATAGCTTTTAGCTGGCCTCCATTGCATTTAACATGGTGGCCTCCAAATATTGATCCTTTAAGATAGATTTTGACTTCAAAACTGATTTTTGCCAGAGTACTCAGCTCACAGAAGACAAGTCCAAATTCAAATATCTTTCATGCATCAGTGATTGAAGCATCTAAAGTTCTTCAGTTGCTTAGGCCATATTACTGAAAGTCGTTCGGTAAAAATGTGAATTAAAAAAACACATTGGTGCCCTTGTCACTTGTTTGGCCTTTGCTTTAGCTTCAAAGTTATTGGCGTGTTGTCCTTTTGTATTCTAAGCGGATATACAAGATTTAACACATGTTGAGATGGGCTCAAAAACAATTTCACCGTTTGGCTAACTGCATGTTCCGTTGCGTGACTGAGGTTCAGTTTGCAGGGGCCATGTAGGGTGTGTTTTTTTTCTGGAGAAGGCACTCAATGGGTTCAGTCGCAGCTAAAACAATGACCAAGCTGGACTATCGCCAGATGAGGGCGGGGGTGGGGGCGGGGGCATGAACGAGGCCACAGGCCACGAGCGAGGGGGGCGTGCCCCTGTCCTTCCTTAGTCATGCCACTGTACATGTGAAAGACCATGCGCACTTAGACGTGACAACATGATTCCGGTGACATGCCGGTTAATAGCATTTCTGGAGCAAAGTAATTCCGGCGTGTGAAATTTCACGGAAGGAAGGTAATGACCAGAAACCTTCTGTGGGTTCACTGGTAAAAATCCATGAAACCTGAGATTACCCATTTACTTTTAAACTACGGACTCTTCCCATTACCCTCTGGATGATCATAGTTCTATTCGCAGGTATTCACGTTCTGCCGCTGCTCGTGGAAGTTGTTGGACATTCACGAGCTCCGTATAAGTCCTAAATTCCTGATGGCCTTTTTCTCAAACTGAAAGACAATTACCTAGATAGTATCGAATTGCAATTTGTATGCAAATGAAAGATGCATCACTGACTTATTTAACCTGGCATTATACGAAAGATTTCTTTCATAGGTTTTCAACAGTCTGCTCTTCCCCCAGTAGGAGTGAAGAAAACCACTCCTTGGGACCTCCAGACGACCGACGTGGGTCTTTTGGAGCGCTGACTTCTACGGGGCAAAGCTTACGAGGGTAGGTACAAGTATGACGCGGTGTGACGGTTGACAGTCAAATTAGCTCGCTGATATTGTGGAAGTTGAAGGGATAGCTCCCTTTCCGATTCTGAGGGTACAGTTTGGTCAGGTTTACCGGGCACTTCTGATGATATCTACACTTGCAAAACGTGCACAACCAATTTTTTTGTCGGGACAAACGAACCGTGCAACGGTCGTTGAACCGCGCCCATTCCAATATACTCGAGTGTCAACAGCCGCCGTTTCCACATAGGTTGAACGTGGACAGTCGGGCCCCGGAAGGAGCTTAATTTAATAAATTAACCTTCCACCCAGAATAAATCATGTTCTATTTGTTTCATTGCACAAATGAGAAAAATGAAAAAATTTCAGAAGCAAGAAAAATATAGAATGTGTGCCGCCGCATCATGTTCAGCGTAACCAAGCTATGTCCAATGCATGCGGAAGTTCACCTGTGGGACAGTTGCATGAAACCCGGGGAACTTTGGCCTGTATAATAAAGACTCAGTTGGGTGCACACAGCTCAGTAAAAGGGAAAGCACAGTCTCGCATTGGTGAATTTGAATAACCTTTGTTAAGCCCACACCCGAGCAGAGACTTCATGAAGTTAAAGCCGATGATCGGTATCTGTCCACCGCAATTATTTTGACGCGTGTCGGGTCTGTGCTACATCACGATCTTTTGCTATGGCATCGCCCTTGCAGAAGATGATTTGGAATGGTGGTGCATCTCTATGGCTGGCGGTAGCCGTAACTTGCGTGCTCATGAGCAACAGCCAAGCATCCATTTTGCCAGGAGCTTCAGAAATGTTCCGGGCTGGATTGAGTCTGGATTTGACGGGAGGAAATGTCCGAGAGCGCCGGCCTGTTGCCAATGAGTCTGTCCTCATGCCAATTATCGACGCCTTTGGGGTCAGCGGGGCGATGACTAAGGAGCAACTGCAGAAGTTAATGCTGGCTATAAACTCTCAGGTAAGCACTCCACTACCGTAAAAAAAAGATGGTCGATGGTTTATTTTCTCCATTACACAAACCATTTACATTATGTTTTAAATTTACATTAAAAAACCCAAAGTCTTAGCCAACGGTCGTAAATTCTTGGGAATGGGGTTATGAAGTCCCCAAACACTTTTTTTACTGGGGGAAGGGCTATTGGATCAATCCCCACTTTTTCCTGGTGAGAAAAGTAGCGGATTTTGAGGTATCTTTCGAATTTCCCAACAACTAAATTGTATCCAAAACACCGAATAAAGGAGAAAATTGACAAAAAGTTTGAATACGCTATTTTCATGTAAGCCTTAGGGGTGTAAAAACATTGAAAACGCTATTTTCATGTAAGCCTTAGGGGTGTAAGCACACATAACATGTACATTGGTCACAACCAGTGCACCTTAATGTCTCGTGGTGTCCAGCAACGCTCCTATTGAGTTTCCATGACAGGGCAAACTTCGTTTTTATTACGTCATCCCCCCCCCAAGTGCCCGGCACAGATTTTACGGCACTGTCTTGGCCTCATCAAAGAAACAATTTTGCTACATGAGCAGAGCTAAATCACTTTTTTTGTAAAGTCTTATCGCTTGCTAAACTGTGTTTTACCGGTTTGCTACCAAAGAAACGTGCTATTCAGCCGTGGAAAAAGGCGCTGCAAAGATACACAATAGTGCGCCTGCCAATCATGAGTTGCGTCGGCGAATCACAGTGCGCAAAATCTGTTGTATTCATTTGAAAACACTAAATGTAAAGAACCTTCGATTTCAATCCGATCCGCAGAGTCACCTGGTACCATCCCATTAAGGGTTTCAATGTATACAGTGCGTTCAGGAATACGACTTAAATTGGGTACCCCGCGAATACGGTCTATTGTACAGAACGTTTGTTAACTATGAAATGCTGCAATAAAATAGGAATAGGCGTTTTAAGCACTGAATTTGAAAGGAAAGGCCCTGCAACTACAGTTGGTTGTTACTGAAGCACCTGTAAACCGCGATTTATGAATAAACGCCAAGGTTAGGACAGCTTCGATATATAGGGGCTAGGTGCCTATCTGAAGCACTCGTGTAACACCTCATGGTCCCAGGGTCGTTTGCACGGTTTCGTTTGATGTATTGAATTTGAAAATGTGGGACCTCAACCATGAATGAAAAATTGGGTGGGGGGGGACTCTTCATTGGTCGAGTCCGGCGGGGCCATGTGTCGGTAGGAGCTGCGGGGTGTTGCCTGAAGGATATCACAGACGCAGTGCAAATGTTATCCCTTGGGGACGAATTTTGCTATTAAAAATGATTGCGTCTTCGATTTTCTTATCCGGTCAGAGTCGAATAACGAACTGACCAGCTCTGGATTGCAACGAACAGCACCCAGACGAAGTTACTTTGTCCACTGTGATCATTCATTTAAAATCGTCGAGATCATGAAATCAATTGAGGGAAATTTTCACCTATATCGTGTTTTCAGTTTCCAACAACGTGAGAGGAATTCAACCTTTATTACCGTTGAAAAGCCGGTGTTAAAAGCAATAAAATAAAGCATGTATATAAAGGCGTTTGCGTTTTCAGGCAATTTGACCCATTATGAATAAAGGTAAAGTGCCCCCGAACAACATGCGAAGGGGATTTTATGAACAGACATATTCCACAGATTAATCCCTCCACTGTTAGACCTATTATTCTGTAATTGGCATCGTTAAGATTTGAGACATTATTTACTATCTTTGTCAAAAAGTAAACCTAATCTGAAATAGTCGAAATCTCTTTTTCAAAATGACCAATTTCCAACTAAATTTTCTCAAAACACTTGTTCAATGCTCCGTGTCAAGTTGGTCCCTTCGTGAAACTCGCAGGAAATAGTGTTTGCATACAATGCTAAATGGGGCCGGACCCATTTTAAAACATGGAGTGAAATTGGGGGGTATAGAATGCATACTTGACATAAGCCAGTGCTTCAACAAAACAGGAGTGTATACCTACGCCATTACGTTGAAACGAATGACCTTGGTTAGCATAAAACCTCAAGCCTTGGTTCTTGAATTCAATCTGCGGTTTCAATAGCTTAAGTGTTCGTATCAATGCCTGTCTTACAGATCCAGAGTTGTTCTCATGGCTTTATATTGAAAGAGAGTTTATGAAATGGGACCTCCATAAGCGTAAATACCGAGGGGGGATATTCCCACCACTTTTTGACCTGGGTGATGGGATATTTAATTATCATCCCACGTTTTCGTGGTAAGGAAAATATTCAGGTATATTGTAAAGAATTTTTCCGACTAAACAAAGTGTATTCAATGGCACTCAAAAGGAGATTGATAAAAAAGCCACAAATATACACCACGTGCAGTGTCATCACCATACTCCCCCTCCCACTGGTTAGATTTCCATTGCAGAGCAACTTAACCTGCCCCTCCCCCCACACACACAACCACGCACAATTCCCCCTCACCTATGCCCCTATTTCTGGACGGAGACCAGTCCATGATTGATGGTGGCCACCATAGAAGGACGCTTTCTGAAGCGCAGGCGCAGATTATATACCCAAACCCCGAAAATGCACTAAAAGTGTCCCGACTCGTCTATCCGGCAAGGAATGAAAATGAATGGCACACAACTATTGACATCAGCCTGAGAAGTTCTGCATCAAAACAAGAGTTCTATGTCCAATCAGTTTCATTTCAATGGTGTGACCTTTGCACTACAGGTAATTGTCCCCGAAGCTTCTATACGGAAGAAAAGATTGATGAATCAACAGGTTTCAATAGCTTCAGTACTGAAGCCAGTGTGTAGAGCAGGCTTTTACTGCCTTATAGATGCAGAATTCTTGGACCGGACCTTTTGATATATCGAGGAAAAAAAATTCCACCTCAACCACAAATGAAAAAATCGGTTAGGTGGCCTCTTTACCAGTCGCATCGAAGTCACTTCGATGTGCACCCATGGCCAGGGGGTTACCGGTTGCCTGAAGCGACGTCTTTGGTGCATTGAACTTTTGCCTATAAGGAGTGAAAATGCTGACAAATGTGTTGCTAACAATACCCTAAGCAACATTGCAAAAACTACGGGAATAAATACCTCCACGACGTTAGTTTTAAAATGCAAGACTTTGCAACTTCAGTTGGTTGTCATGGAGACCCCTGAATATCACGCTTTATGTATAAATCTACAGGATTCAATAGGTCTTATTGTTGCGAATCTATGGAGCATTCGTTTAATCACAAACCCCGAGTTTCTTTGCACGACTGCGTCTGAGATATTCATTTTAGAATTTTTTGCACAAAGGGGGTTGCTGCAGGGACCCTATTATTCGCTATTATTCTGAATTGTTCTTCAACAATCAGTAAAAATGAGCTGTGTGTAATGTGCTGTGCGGTCCATTCTTCCATTTATCCGTCTTGAATAGGACCACACATTCCATTGCTCGCTCTGAACTGAAAAGCCGAGACTAACGGAAGGTCACCAGCAAAGATTTATCTGAGGAGACGCCATAACTGCGGTAGTGCCGCACTGATGTCCGAATCCTTGGACTTGACGCACGCATGCAATTGGCAAATCACGACAACCCTTTTAGGTCAAAGAAGCATGTAACATGCGCTTACCACCTGTTCACGAGCGCGTTGTACCACCGCAACAATTAATGGCCTCCTTTGGCATCTAATGGTCGCTTCTACCAACAAAATGAACACTCCAATTAGCATAGCTCTTTTCAACTGACGAGGAAATGTTTCTGCTCAAGGCGGATTCCGGTTACCGAATCGTACCATATCAAATAGAATACACTCCAATTATAAAGATGAGAAATCTGACTATACGGTGCATTTGAGCATCTTTCAGAATGGACACGTATACGTTTGAAGCAAGATATGGGACCGAGAGAACCCCCCCCCCC